CCATATTCTCTGCTCCATACGATTTATTCTTACATTTTATCTGGGCCTTGATTGAACAAACAGCTGCTATATAAATCTATAACTAAAGGTGGTTTGGGGGTCCCTAATGCCTTATATTAAAAAGCAGCACAGATTGCCCCCCCCCCAGCTCAACTAAATGCAGGCAAAGTATCTCCCCCGTGGACCGTGATCTTTATGCTGGACACTGACCCCATCCCCCTCTCCTCTTTACCTTGGATCCTTCCTCCGCTGCACTGTCAGTCCCTCAAGCCTGACCCATACTCTGACTGTTTGGGACCGATGAAATACACCTCTCGACTACTACAGTTGCAAGAAAAAGTATGTGAACCCCTTGGGATTACGTGGAGTTTTGCTTGAATTGGGTATAAAATGTGCTCTGAACGTCATCTAAGTCACAACAATAGAAGAACACAGTCTGCTGAACATAATACTACACAAACATTAGATGTTGCCATGGTTTAATTGCACATAACATGTAAACACTCACAGTGCAGGGAGGAAAAAGAATGTGAACCTTTGGACTTAATAACTGGTTGACCCTCCTTTGGCAGCAATAACCTCAACCAAACGTTTCCTGTAGTTGCAGATCAGACCTGCACAACGATCTGGAGTCATTTTGGACCACTCCTCTTCACAAATCTATTTCAGTGTAGCAGTATTCTTGGGATGTCTGGTGTGAATCGCTCTCTTAAGGTCATGCCACAGCATTTCAATCGGGTTGAGGTCAGGACTCTGACTGGGCCACTCCAGAAGGCGTATTCTGTGCTGTTGCAGCCATTGTTTTGTTGAATTACTTGTATGCTTTGGGTCATTGTCCTGTTGCATCACCCATCCTCTGCGGAGCTTCAGTTGGCGGACAGATGGTCGTACGTTTTCCTGCAAAATGTCTTGATAAACTCTGGAATTCATTTTCCCATCAATGACAACAATCCATCCAGGCCCTGAGGCAGCAAAGCAGCCCAAAACCATGATGCTCCCTCCACCATGTTTTACAGTGGGGATGAGGTTTTGATATATTGTTGTGACTTAGATGACGTTCAGAGCACATTTTATGCCCAATTCATGCAAAACTCCACGTAATCCCAAGGGGTTCACATACTTTTTCTTGCAACTGTATCTCCACATCTTCCAATTCTGACAACTTTTAAGTTTTCTTTTCCCATGGAGAATGGATAACCCCACAGCTACCAATGGCGGCACCAAGTAGGTCTTACAATGGTATGGTCCTTTTTGACCATGCTCTTTCCAACAACTCCGGGGCTCACGTAATATACCGGAATCTGAAAAAGTCCATTAACTTCAAATCTGCAACTTTCTGGAATCCTTGACCAGGAATCCTGATTGGTTCACAATTGCAATGGCCTTTGAATCTAGATATTGCACAAACCCCACTATCTGGAGGCTCAACTCTTTATTAAATTCCTTGACTCAGGGTAATACCAATACGCAAGCCCTCTCATACAAATAGGAGCATGAGACTCCCAACGCTGTTTTATCCCCCGAAGATTGGAATAATATGTGAGCAGCCATGTTTAAGGTGTCCAGCAATATGAAGCCCTAGAAAATTCATTCAAGGCAATGTTGCAATACTATTTTACGCCAGCCAGGATAGCAAAATGTCTACCCACTTATCCATCAAGCTGTTTCTGGGGTTGTCTGGACTTGGGTGATATGGAATACATCTGGTGGACATGCCCCAGGGTCAAAAGGATATGGATATACAATATGGTCCTGTTATATTGACTTGCACAAAGACCCCTGGGAGGCGCTCCTGCATAAACCAATAGAAAACTTGTCCCGACACGAGCGCACACTTATCGCTCACATTTTTATGGCAACGAAGCAGACTATCGCAAGGGCATGGAAATCCCCAGCACTTCGCTTTACAGAGGTTAATAGCCATGTCCATGACACTCTCATTAATGAGAAGCTAATGGCGATCCTTAATGACACTTGCGATAAATTTATACGCACTTGGCAACCTTTGCTCAATCACATCCCATCCCCGCAGCTGACTACTCGCTTCCTGGAAATATGAATCTTTGACCGGCACACATGAACCTCCAGGCTACTCTCCCTCCTTCCTTCTCCCTTCTTTTTTCTTCACTTCACCCTATCCTACTCTCTCCTCTGCAGTTCTACCTCACCCCCCCCCTTTCTTTTCTTTCTAGGCCTTATTTTCTTTCTTTTCCTACATGGACATGATCCTTTGGATTTCCTATTTATTAAGCGCATGGTTTTCCCTTTCCCCTCAAGGCAGGAGGGCTTGTAGGAAACCCACCCTTCTCCTATATGTACTTCACCACCAGGTAACCAGAGGCCTTCAGAATTTAAAGGGTTAGTCCACCTTTATTGACTTTTTCCAAAAACCTCACCAAGATTTAGTGTCCTCAGTACATTACTATGCAGTGCTCCATTTTTTTTTTTTTTTGAAAGCATGCTTCTTTTTCAGCTGTTTATTTCATTGCTTTCCTCTGTCCTCCCTGCAAAAGACAGGATGTGTGCTCCGCTTCGTTTTCTACCCACGCATGCACAGTCTGCTCCCTCATGCAGCTCATCGTTCTTGGGTTTCTGGAGGGCATGGATCCAACACTCGTACATCCTGCCATCTGAAGGATGGAGAGAGGAGGGCAATAAAATGAACAGTTGAAAAAAAAAAAACCCAACGCACTGCATAGTAAAGTACTGAGGACGCCGTAATGCTTGGGGATGTTTTTGGCAAAAGTCAACGCTTGGCCATACATGCGTCGAAATCTGGCTTGTTCAGCAGGGACTGGCTGAATTTCGATCCATGTGTGGCCACTGCAGTTGAACAGAAGTTGATCTACTGAATGGCCAATGGCTGCAGAGCTGATCTGTGTATTCTGACAGCAGGGGAGTCTCCCTGCTGTCAGAATACAATAGTGCAGTGGGGGGAATTCCTCTGTTCACCTGGGTTGTGTGGATGCTGGCTGAAGGAAAAATCTGAATAGTGTTTGGCCAGTTTAAAGGTGAACTAATCCTTTAAATCCCACTCAGCCCCCAGGACTCCAAGCCAGAGGTAGTTAATCTAACTCTTTCTGAATTCCTGTGTACTTCAAGAAAAACATTTAAAGTGGTTGTAAACCCTTACATATACCCAATGAAGTGACTGGTCTCAGGTGATTTATTTATTACAGGTACTTATATAGCGCCGTCAATTTACTGCGCGCTTTACATATATATTGTACATTCACATCAGTCCCTAACCCTCAAGGGGCGTACAATCTAAGGTCCCTAACCCTCAAGGGGCGTACAATCTAAGGTCCCTAACCCTCAAGGGGCGTCCAATCTAAGGTCCCTAACTTACATTCATACATACACATACTAGGGCCAATTTAGACAGGAGCCAATTCACCTACCAGCATGTCTTTGGAGTGTGAGAGGAAACCGGCGTACCCGGAGGAAACCCACGCAGGCACAGGGAGAACATGCATACTCCAGGCAGGTGGTGCCGTGGTTGGGATTTGAACCAACGACCCTAGTACTGCCAGGCGGAAGTGCTAACCATTTAGCCACTGAGGTGATATAACAGAGATGAAACCAATCCTCCTACATAAGTTGTACCTGTTTATCTGCACTCTTCTCTACATACATTCAAAATACTGAACTACAATGTTTGTCTGAGTTTTCAGAAAGCAGGGGGCGGAGAGCTGATATTACACATTGCAACTCTAAAAGTTGAGAGCTGATTGGAGGGAAGGACACACCCCCTTCACAAAGCACAAGAGAACAGAGCAGAGACTACCAATCACAGGCTGCATGCTGGAGATCCCTCCCGTCACCACTTATCTCTTGGTGTCAGGAAAACTTGTCAGAAGGGACTCCAGCTGAGGAATGATGCAGCAGACTTGGTGCTCTGGATTGAGACAAGTACACACTATAGAGGGATATGCTTTGTTCATATTTTATGTGTAAGGTGTACAACCATTTTGGCAGTAAATAAAAAGATTTTTACAATCCTTAAGTGTAATGAGCTTAGAATATCTGATGGCTGATGTTGCATTAGATCTACTCTGATTTTTTTACATACGATCACAGCTGAGGTTAGTCCCTCTTTTGCTGGAGCGTCTGATGATATATTGCATGGGGTCGATGTGTCCCTATCTGTGGAAAGGGTTTGCTTGGGTTGCAGACAGAAATTCCTCCGGCCAATTCATTTTACTGCCACTTCTTTCAGCTCAAGGAAAAGTGACCTGGAGGAATTTCTGTCCGCAGACCGTGTGTACTCATTGGTTTACTTTTCTGCTACGTGTGCACAGGGATAGGAGAAATCACCAACACCCCTTCCGCAACACCTTATCCAGATACAAATTCCTTCTGGGCCATACTTTCCAGAGGACGAGGGAGCTTTGGGCTGGATTTGGCATGTGAATGGAGTTCAACTTTAACGCACAGGAATAGAAGAATAATGGTCGCCTGCTCTGCCCAAATTATCATCTGAACCTGTTAACTATGACCCTGCCAGATGGGTGGAAGCACTTGGTGGTTGCAGAAGGATGGGAACGCTTTAATGAACATAATTGGACTTTTAATTTTTTATTTTAAATTTATCTTTGTGTTTTCACCTAATATTTTAGCGCTGCGCTGGTCACTGTGTTTATATGAACCTGCCAGATCATGTGCCTGGGGATGATGATGATGAGGCTGCCAAATGGAAGCCTGAGGATGACCAGGAGGGTGGTGGAAAAACTGGGCTATGGGAAGCTCACTATACGCTATAAAATCCTGGCATGGTTGCAGTGCTGTGAATGCGCATATGTTAGTAGCGGTTTTCTTACCAGTGTGTTAGCACTTTCGTGTTCTGATGTCACCTACAGTGCAGAAGACAGGTCCTCTTTACCGACTCTGCTCCCAGACGGGGCTTCTAATATAAATGAATTCATCACTTGGTGATTGGGTAGAAGGATGGCGGCACTGGTCCTCCGCTTACTGTTGTCTTATTTTTTTTTATTTTTAAGGGCTGAACACGGGGTGCATTTTACTCCCTGTCTACCTTACTGAACCGCATGGTGACAGAACATTACCCGGTAAGTGCCCACTGCCCCATATGTGGGTGACGTGTCTGTACAGGGCTCCAGATCCTGAGTGTGGTAGGCTCACTGCCTCCTATGTGCCATGGTCACTACTGCATGTGTTCCAGGCTCACTGCCTCCTATGTACCATGGTCACTACTGCATGTGTTCCAGGCTCACTGCCTCCTATGTACCATGGTCACTACTGCATGTGTTCCAGGCTCACTGCCTCATATGTACCATGGTCACTACTGCATGTGTTCCAGGCTCACTGCCTCATATGTACCATGGTCACTACTGCATGTGTTCCAGGCTCACTGCCTCATATGTACCATGATCACTACTGCATGTGTGGCAGGCTTACTACCCCTTGTGTACCAGACCTACTGTCGAGTATGTACTGGGCTCACTGCCCCCTGTGTAAAACCCTCCCCCCCCCCCACCACCACCCCACTCTCGCGTGCACCGGGCTCACGGGCCAACACAATCACGCCCTCCTCACATGTACCGGGCTCACGGCCCCCCTCGCATATACCGGGTTCACAGCTCTCCCCCCGGGCGTGTACCGGGTTCCCCCCCCCTTCGCGTGCACCGGGTTCACGCCCCCCCCCTTCGCGTGCACCGGGTTCACGCCCCCCCCTTCGCGTGCACCGGGTTCACGCCCCCCCCTTCGCGTGCACCGGGTTCACGCCCCCCCCCCCTTCGTGTGCACCGGGTTCACGCCCCCCCCCCTTTGCGTGTACCGGGTTCACGCCCCCCCCCCTTTGCGTGTACCGGGTTCACGCCCCCCCCCCTTTGCGTGTACCGGGTTCACGCCCCCCCCTTTGCGTGTACCGGGTTCACGCCCCCCCCCTTTGCGTGTACCGGGTTCACGCCCCCCCTTTGCGTGTACCGGGTTCACGCTCCCCCCCTTTGCGTGTACCGGGTTCACGCCCCCCCTTTGCGTGTACCGGGTTCACGCCCCCCCTTTGCGTGTACCGGGTTCACGCCCCCCCCCTTTGCGTGTACCGGGTTCACGTGTACCGGGTTCCCCCCCCTTTGCGTGTACCGGGTTCACGCCCCCCCCCTTTGCGTGTACCGGGTTCACGCCCCCCCCCCCTTTGCGTGTACCGGGTTCACGCCCCCCCCCCCTTTGCGTGTACCCGGGTTCACGCCCCCCCCCCTTTGCGTGTACCGGGTTCACGCCCCCCCTTTGCGTGTACCGGGTTCACGCCCCCCCCCTTTGCGTGTACCGGGTTCACGCCCCCCCCCCCCCCCCTTTGCGTGTACCGGGTTCACGCCCCCCCCCCCCTTTGCGTGTACCGGGTTCACGCCTCCCCCTTTGCGTGTACCGGGTTCACCCCCCCCCCCCTTTGCGTGTACCGGGTTCACCCCCCCCCCCCTTTGCGTGTACCGGGTTCACGCCCCCCCCCCCCCCCACCCCCCCCTTTGCGTGTACCGGGTTCACGCCCCCCCCCCCCCTTTGCGTGTACCGGGTTCACGCCCCCCCCCCTTTGCGTGTACCGGGTTCACGCCCCCCCCCCCCCTTTGCGTGTACCGGGTTCACGCCCCCCCCCCTTTGCGTGTACCGGGTTCACGCCCCCCCCCCTTTGCGTGTACGGGTTCACGCCCCCCCCCCTTTGCGTGTACCGGGTTCACGCCCCCCCCCCCCCTTTGCGTGTACCGGGTTCACGCCCCCCCCCCTTTGCGTGTACCGGGTTCACGCCCCCCCCCCCCTTTGCGTGTACCGGGTTCACGCCCCCCCCCCCCCCCTTTGCGTGTACCGGGTTCACGCCCCCCCCCCCCTTTGCGTGTACCGGGTTCACCCCCCCCCCCCTTTGCGTGTACCGGGTTCACGCCCCCCCCCCCTTTGCGTGTACCGGGTTCACGCCCCCCCCTTTGCGTGTACCGGGTTCACGCCCCCCCCCTTTGCGTGTACCGGGTTCACGCCCCCCCCCTTTCGCGTGTACCGGGTTGACGCCCCCCCCCCTTTCGCGTGTATCGGGTTCGCGCCCACCCCCCCCCCTTCCTCCTTGCGTGTACCGGGTTCGCGGCCCCACAGCCCCCCCCCCCCCCCCCCCCCCCCTTCCTCCTCGCGTGTACCGGGTTCGCGGTCCCACACACACCCCCCCCTCGCGTGTACCGGGTTCGCGGTCCCACACACACACACCCCCCCTCGCGTGTACCGGGTTCACGCCCCCCCCCCCCTCACGTGTACCGGGTTCACGCCACCCCCCTCACATGTGCAGGGCTCACACCCACCCCATGTGTACCAAGCTCATGGCCCCATGTTTAACAGGCTTACTGCATGTACCAGGCTCACTGCCCCACAATTGTCACTTTGATACTTTATACAGGGGGAGGAGGTAAACGCTGGCCGGATCGGACTGACAATCACCGTCGCTGGGATGTGCGGTGCTCTTATCACTGGGCTCTGGCTGGACAGAACCAAGACATACAAGTAAGAATGTTCCCTATGGTGTCCTGTGTGTCTCTCCCTGTCTCCACTCTCCTTCCCCCTGTTTGTCTTTCTGTCTCTCCCATTTTCCTCTGTCATCTTTCCCCTCCATGACTCTCTCACCTTCAGTCCTCCCATGTCTAGCTTTCTCCCCTAGGTCTCCTTCCCTGTACCCCCTTTTTTTTTTTTTCCCCAGGTCTAGCTTTCTCCCCTAGGTCTCCTTCCCTGTACCCCCTTTTTTCCCCGGGTCCAGCTTTCTCCCCTAGGTCTCCTTCCCTGTACCCCCTTTTTTTTCCCGGGTCTAGCTTTCTCCCCTAGGTCTCCTTCCCTGTTCCCCCTTTTTTTCCCCCGGGTCTAGCTTTCTCCCCTAGGTCTCCTTCCTTTTACCCCCTTTTTTCCTCGGGTCTAGCTTTCTCCCCTAGGTCTCCTTCCTTTACCTCCTTTTTTCCCCGGGTCTAGCTTTCTCCCCTAGGTCTCCTTCCCTGTTCCCCCTTTTCCCTGGTCTAGCTTTCTCCCCTAGGTCTCCTTCCCTGTTCCCCCCTTTTCCCTGGTCTATCTTTTTCCCCTAGGTCTCTCTTAGAGTGTCTCACTCCTGTGTCTCTCTCAGACAGACAACGCTGGCTGTCTATATCCTATCGTTGGTTGGAATGGTGGTCTTCACATTTATACTGGATCTCAAATTCCTCTGGGCGGTCTTCATCACGGCTGGATGTCTGGGGTGAGAATGGAAGGGGCTTTAAAATTATTTGGTTGGCTTTGGGTTCCCCATTGTAGATCAATCTTTGGGGAAGCTGATCCCCCTGTACAGTGTGAGCTCTGCTTTGTGATGCCTGCAGGAGGGGAATGGTAGGGAACTGTCCAATGAAATTAGGGGGTTCAGCACTGTGTGGGTCCTTGGTGGTTTTCTCTCCTACAGACAGCATGTGGTTGGGATCTGGGGGTCACTGTCTGGGTGCTAAGATCATGTGACATCTGTTTGGATCATCCAGGTTCTTTATGACGGGTTATCTCCCTCTGGGCTTTGAGTTTGCAGCAGAACTGACTCATCCGGAATCAGAAGGAACATCCTCAGGTCTGCTCAATGTGTCTGCACAGGTACGTTTGTATACTGTGGGGGTGGTGATATGCACAAATCCCTGGAACTCCCAGGTGTGATGGGAAGAGTCAGGAGCCCCTAGATGTGGCTAGATGATTTAGGGGGCCAGCAGGGGTGGGGGAGGAATCGGGGGCTCTGAGGTGACAGAGACAGTGGGCCCTAGAGATGTCATAAAGAGCTTGGGGTCCCTAGGGGTGATGAGAAGAATCAGCGGACCAAAAGGCATGACAGGGAGAGTCAGGTGCCCCCTGGGGTGACAGGGAGAGTCAGGGGTCCCTTGTGGCAAGGAGAGTTAGAAGACCCCAGTTATGGCAGGAAGATTCAAGAACGTCCAGAGATGACAGGAAGAGTGAGGAGCCCTAAGGAATAAGATTTAGGAGCCCCCAGGAGTGGCAAAAAGAATCAGGGGTTGGTGGAAAGAGTTGCACCTTTGTGGCAGGAAGAATCAAGAGTCTCAGGTGATGACAGGAAGAGTTGGGAACCCTCAGGGCTAGTAGAAAGATTTAAGAGCCCCCCAGGAGTGGTGTAAAGAGTCGCACCCGAGTGGCAGGAAGTGTCAAGAGCCTCCAGAGATGACAGGAAGAGTGAAGAGCCTTCAGGGCTAGCAGGAAGATTTAAGAATCCCCAGAGGTGACAAAGTCTCACAGACGTGGTGGCAAAAGTCAGGGGTCCCCAGAGATGGCAGAAAGGATTAGGGGTTGCAGGAGGAGTTAGGCACTCCCAGAGATGACAGGAAGAGCTGGTGGCCCCAGGAGTGGAGTGGGTGGAAGAGTATGGTTGCCACTGAGGGTGGTGTCACCAGAGGTGGCAAGGAGCCCTCAGGGGTAGCAGAAAGGTTCATGAGCTCCCTGAGGTGACAGAGTCTGGTGCCCCCAAGGAAGGCAAGATATAGGTGGCGGGAAGATTTTGAAGCCCCTAAAGGTGTCAGGAAGGGATGTCCACCAGGGATGTCCACCATCTTTAACAATACAGAGAATAACATCTGACATCTACAGTAGCTGCATAAAGTACCTTATCCGCACTTCCCTTTAAAGGCATAGTCCACCTTCTGCAACTAACTAAATAAATAAACACACCCATACTGATTAAAGTGTAACTAAAGGAAAAACACTTTTTTTTTTTTTGGTGTGTTTGGACAGTGTAGAGAGGGATTAGAACATCCTCTCTATTTGTCCTGTTTACTGTTATCATTTTAAGTGAAAGTAACGGAAAATTCCAAATTTTGGGTTGACGCTAGAACAGTAATAGAGCAGAAAATCTCCAATGACAAATTTCTGGTGACACAATAGGATGCCCTTACTTTGGAGGGATTTCCTCTCATTTCCTTGGTTATGGGACAGGAAGTGAAAGGAAATCTTCCCTATGGGACACAGATGACAAAAGAAATAAAAACTGACAGGGGTTATAACACTCCCTTACTCTATCCAAGTGTAAAAAAATGTTGCCTTTAGTTAAACGTTCATAAAAAATAACGTTCATTTATTGTTTGTTGCATTGGAGACTACAAAGCATTGCAACCAGGAGTAGTGGATTTCGGATGCAATGCTCTGGCTCCTGCAGACTATTCCTCCAGCTGCTGGTGTGTACTACGGTATGAAACTTCAGTTACAGGGCTGGAGGAAGTACTGATAGAGCACAATTTCAGCCTGTCTATCCAATTGGTGGGTGACATCTGATTGGACACTTCATATGTCACTGTTGCTCTGATCACATCATGTCTGCAGACCAGAACGGTGTCAGATGGAGGACGATGTGCAGAGGGCAAATATTTATTCTCCAATTTTTTTTCTCTTCTTCCTGTGAAGACCCCCAAGGCAGTGGTGTATTTAGTTCATGTGCTGTACTTCCCTAGGCATCACTAAAATCTAGCACCCTCCCCGCCATTGCCATCACAGCCCATCGCCACAATCCTCTCGCCGCCCTCACCTGCCATCACCCCAAACCAGCACACATCCCCCACCGCCCCTTCCCCTACCTCCCCGCCGTCCCCCTGAAAATTGCCGCCCTAGGCAAATGTCTTGTTTGCCTTATGGTAAATACGCTGCTGCCCCAAGGGACCATTAAGACCCCCATCTAGGGGGACCTCTGCATCTTAAACTGTGTCCTAAGACATAATGGGTGTAAAGTGAACCTGTCTCAGATCTGACCCACTCAGCCCCAGTAGCTCTTCTATACCTTCATTGACCACTCATAAACTCAGCCGCACACAAAGGGTTAAGGATTTCCGAACGTTCCTGACATTCCATGAATGCCATAACAATCGCCTGCTTTGTACTTTAAACTTTTCAGAGATTGCTAAATGCTTCTTTTTGAAAGCAATTACAAAATCCCGTCCTTTATCCGAAAATATGAGTGGCTGAGGCTTGAGGAGGGGCACCACCATCTCTGGTCCCCAGGCGCTGCCACCCCTGTCCTTGTTATTGAGGGGATGGTCATTTATTTGTATGGAAGTGGAAAGAATTTAAAGTGACCGTGTTATGTGATCAATCATTTCAACAACGATCTTCCCATAGGATCATAAATTTAATGAACATTATTTATGTGCAAACTCCTTCCTTATGTAGATATCCAAAAGCCCTGAGACTGCACCTTGTACCACGCTGTGTAGAATATATCCAGATTCGAGGATTGCATATCTCTGATCAATCTGTACTCTGTAATGAACCGTGTTGGCTCGGTCAATAAGTAGCCTGATCATGGTTGCTACACGTCGTAATTAGTCTGAGACTCACACTAATGAGTGGTAGAAGATTAACAAGGATCTGACTGTGACATCCAGAGCTGGATGCAGATTCTCAGGATTTGTCCTCCAATTAGGTCAAAATTTTTAATACAACACAACAAACACTTTACTCCTGCGCTACGAAAGGACTCAGTAGACCCAATAGGAATGTTCTGGAATTTTCTGGAATATGCACTGCTTGCTGCCCTCAACAGACCGGGGTGGTCCGAATACACTGGATACAAATGGAGTAACAGAAAAAGGGCACACCGACCTAGTGCATTATCGTTTAAAATAATTAATTAACGAAACAAAAATAGGTATCATACTCACAATGGACATAATAACACAGGCATGTCAAACTGAACAAGATGTATGATCCAAACAACATCTGAGTCCATACAATGGAACCCTGGATGACCAACTAGCTAACGCGTTTCGAAGGACACAACCTCTTCCTCAGAGCCAACCAGGTTGGCTCTGAGGAAGAGGTTGTGTCCTCGAAACACGTTAGCCAGTTGGTCATCCAGGGTTCCATCGTATGGACTCAGATGTTGTTTGGATCATACAAATTTTTTAATACTTAGAAAGTATTAAAACCAGAGGATCAGCACGACGGGCATTTAGCTGGCATTCTCAGAAGGAGGTATGGCTAATGCTATGTCTACAGGGAGTGGGGGGGATTACGGTCAGCGTGTACCATTGACGGAATGTGTTGCAATATTTTGTGTTTCATTGTCGGTGTCTCCTGCAGGTGTTTGGACTGATCTTCACAACAGCTCAAGGGCAGATTTTGGAGAAATTTAATGTTCTGGCTGGAAACCTCCTTCTGTGCAGCTTCCTGCTGGCTGGTGCAATTATCACAGGTAAGTCATCCCTTGCCGCACTTGGGGCCATTTCACACATACTACAGTAACGTAACCGGGGTTTTCCGCACAAGAAAAAATGCCAGTCGCTGCCAGGACACACAGAAAACAATTGTTTTCTATGTGTCCTGTTCAAAATGCAATGCAACCTGGAGCTCCTCTGCAAAATTCTGTGATAAAATGCACATCTGCTGGATCGCACCTCATTGGAAATGTTCGCCTTTGAGAGGAAATTAAAGAAGCTGGATTGTTCCCGCTGTGCATGAACTAGTGTGCAACCTAAATAGGAATGCCACCAGTTAGGAACATGGTGTGCTTACCTTTTAAGGACTCTTATGATGAGCAGATTAGAATCCCTTCTCAAATGTCAGTTGAACTGGCTGGTTGTGACCTCTGTCATGTGATGGCAGCGACCTTTATCCAACAGACCTTCTCAGAGTGGGTTAGGTTCCTTCAATGGAAATCTCTACTCAGCTGGAATGAACTCTTTGTTTCAGAGAGCAGGTGGAACAAATGTCTGGAGTCTTGCGCTTTAGTTGTGATGGCTTGTTGCAATCATTTACACATACTGTATACTATGTGTGTCTGATGTCCATGCAGATACACAGGGCTATGTGTCTGCTGGAATACTGATGACATATCTAAAGAGCATCTGACTCCATTAGCCTTAGAGGAGCGTCATTTCTTCACCCCTGCACAGGGCAGCATGTTCAGTAATGTCACACAAGGCCCAAGAGTACTTCTACCCTCAACCTTGAAGGTGTAGGCAAAGGTCAGCTGAATCCCGCCCTTCTCTTTCATAAACGTCTACAGCAAGTGCCCCTTGAGCCTGACTTTCACTCAGACCAAAGGGCTCAAACTCTGCTTATCCCTTTGCATGAAGATGTGCCTCTACTTCAAGTGGAGGGCTTAATGTGCATCCAGGGGCCACCCCTCCATCCAGTACTCAGGTACTCCCAGACTAATCCATTGATTCAGGTGCCTACTTCTGTTGCTTCTTGTCATTTCGTCTGTTCTTCTGCTCAGGATCCTGTACCTTCCCCAATCTTATCTGGATTCTTCCCTCTGCGGGTCCCTTTGCTTTATAATATTTGGGCCCCTTTTCCCTTCATCATGAAAGCCCCTTGTCTCTGAGATATGAACAGCCCCTTGTGGTGCATGATACTACTCAGGGTCTTCTCTTTCTGGAGGGCTCCTTGATCTGTAGGGTTGACCAGGGTCAGCACTGCCTGCTCTCTTCTTGGACGAGGATCTGGATCATCAGCGTAGCTGGGACACTACCCTTGATTCTTGAAGCATTGGCTTTTATGCACATCTTGGTGCCCTCTCCTGGCATCTGCATTGTGGAGTGCCTAGGTCCCTTTGCTTTATAATATTTGGGCCCCATTTCCCTTCATCATGAAAGCCCCTTGTCTCTGAGATATGAACAGCCCCTTGTGGTGCATGATACTACTCAGGGTCTTCTCTTTCTGGAGGGCTCCTTGATCTGTAGGGTTGACCAGGGTCAGCACTGCCTGCTCCTTTCTTGGACGAGGATCTGGATCATCAGCGTAGCTAGGACACTACCCTTGATTCTTGAAGCATTGGCTTTTATGCACATCTTGGTGCCCTCTCCTGGCATCTGCATTGTGGAGTGCCTAGGTGTCATGTAAAGATAGTCAGCCTTGGGGATCCTTGTAGTCATCATCCTTCTGAAAGGCATGACTCTTATAAGATTCACACGGGTTGGGCCATGCTGAGTTCCAGCTATTTCCAGTGGGTAAGGTGGTCTAGCTCAAGCTAGCCTTGAAAAGGCCTACAACTGCCATACTATTTGCTCTTTTGTTATCAGGCAGGGAGTCCATCTTCTCTCTCATTTTGAGGGAGAGTGGGGTGTTGGGGGGGGTGGGAATGTCCCCTCAGGATTACCTCCTCTTTGCCAGTTCTTTCTGGCTTCCTTCAACCCCTTTCCTTGCAGTCATGGGTTTTGGTTCTGCACAGGATTGCAATCCTGTCTCTGCAGATCAGGTAGTCCCTGGCATAATCCTTCAGTTTCTTCAGGTGACCAGGGTAATCTCTTCCTATTGTAGCTAGAGCATTCCAGCTGCTGGATTAACTCCATCCTTAGGACTACTATCTGATCCATCTGAATAGTTCTCTTCACCTCAGAGGGCTCCACCTTGGCTAGGTTTCCTGATCCGGATTCTGTTGGACACCCTGTAGTTAGATTGCAGTACCCTAGTCTCTCGGAGGGACGGGAGTCTCTCCTGCAACAGGGAAATTTGCAAATCCCCTGCACTGGACAATGCCGAACATGTTCATTGTGCTCGAATGATCCTTCAGATGGTTGTTGCCTTTGAATCTGCTCCAAGAGGAGCAACATGTGCACCTCAGACCCTTTGTAGTGTGTGGAGTGCTGTACCACTCTGGATTGCCAGCAGGTAAGGCACCCTAACCCGCTACTGCAAGTACTCTTTGCTAACAGCTGAGCTTGTCCAGATTACTTTGTTGGACCTCTACACCTGTGGATTATTCCTCCCTCCTTGGCTAATCAGCAAAATCCTGGAGGAAGTCCACAAGATACTTCCCCTGGTCTTGTCCTTATTATGATTTTCTTAGCCACAGACGAAAGCATCAAAAGCTACTGAGCGAGAAACAGGAGTTTTAAGTCCCATGTTTTCTATCTGTCTACCCTTGTGGTAGTGTCTTCTGGTACCCTTATCCTTCTGTCATATTGACTTTTTGTGAGATCAAGCCTTGAGTTTTTTTAGTGGCCTCATGACTTCATAGGCTATTAGGTATATTCTCTGGTGTATTTCGACAAGCAAGCTTGGTTGTCTGACTAGGCAACCTCCCCTAGTTTTTATCCCCTTGGCCCTAAGGAGTAAGGATGATCAGCCTTTGGCTTTCCCATCTAAACCAACTTTTTTTACCTGGACCATTATTTTGCTTGTGGTCATGTTTGACACCTGTTCCCTTCAGGGACTATCTCCAGTGTTGTGTTCTGTTAACTCATCAAGTTGTTTGTCCCTTCTTCCCTGTTGGGAATCTTATTGGTCCATTTGTGTTTGGTGGGTTCTGGTTAGTCTGCTTCTCACTGTCTCAGGTTCACTCCATGGGGTTGATTTACTAAACCTGGAGACTGCAAAATCTGATGCAGCTGGGCATGGAAGCTAATCGGCCTAACTCCACCTTGTTCAATTTAAGCTTTGACAAAAGAACTTGGAAGCTGATTTGGTTTCTGTGCAGAGCTACACCAGATTTTGCAATCTACGGTTTTAGTAAATCAGCCCCAAGTGTCATTCCCCACAGGTGGTGACCTTCTCCACCCTTGTCTGCAGTGCCAAGTGGATCCATCATGTTCTTTCCATGGTCATGATGGCAGACTCTCCTGTCCAGTGAGGTTGGGGGGAGGGTCTCCACCTCATCCATTTCAGATTGAGACATTGGCCTTTCATGTGGTTTCTTGGATGCAGGCAGTCCCCAGTGCCTCTTGCTAAGCCTATTAGTGTTTTTTGCTGTGCTCCCCACCCCTCAATCAGACTGCTTCTGGACTTCCAGATTGTATCTGAACTCCAGTGTCCCTCAATGTATGAGAAAGAAATATGATTTTTCTACGTATTGTAAAATTCATTTCTTGGAGCCCAGCAAAGAAAACAGGTCCCATCCATCCTTTACCACAAAACGGAGGCATGTTGGTTAGAGTAGGGGTTATACTTGTATACTTGGGGCCAATTTACAATGTTGTATGTTTGCTAGTTCTCCTGGAAAAGGCAGCATAACCCAGCATTCTGAATTACTATGTCCCTCAATGGACATTAAAAAAATGCCTCTTACGGTAAGTATGAAAACCCTATGACACTAATATATATGACCCTCCCTTCCCCTCTCTATATGTAATACCCATCCTATTGCCTCTCTACTTACATGGATCTGTCTTGCAGGGTTTATTAAGGCAGACCTCCGCAGACAGAGAGCCAATCGGGAGGCACTGCTTGCAGTAAGTATCTGGTAACACTTTACTATGCACAGTACTATCTTGCTGTAGGCAGAACTACAAATCCCAGAAGGCCTAGAGCAGAATGTGCTACAGGACTTGTTATAGAAAGGAAAGTCTCCACATTTAATGCCATGAAGCTCTAATGTGGAAATGCAACCTGCTGCTTCCAGCCTGGACTTTTCTTTTTATCAAGGAGGGCAGAAGCCTGAAGTTCGGTGTCAATCGGAGGATGTTCTCCGCCCAGAAGCAATCTGTTCACCATCTGCCTTAGGCTCCATTCCCACTAGTGTGACTTTATGCATCCAAAGTCATATAACCCATTCCAGTCTACGCAACTTAAAGTCGCAGTGACTTTGAAAAGGTTCCAGCAATACTTTAATGTGACTTTCTTGTGACTTGAGGGCAAGAGAGTGTAAAGTCGCACTAGTGGGAATGTAGCCTTAGTCATATCTTTGTAGTGAGTTCACCCAACTCCCAGAATCCTCTGCTGCTCGGGATTGCTGTATGCTGAGGTCACATACATATTGTATATTCCAAACTATGAGCTGCCAACCGTCATTCATCTGTGTCCGCTCCTAACTAATTCTGGTGGATGATGGGGATTCCATGTGTGTAAAATGCCTTCTCTGTTCCCCAGCCAAATCTATTATCCATGAATAGAATGGCACAGAACCTGGAGCTAGATGTTCCACAATAAAACAGCTCTAGGCCTGATGATTGTAGACTTGGCTGAAGGATCTAATGACCGCAACTGTGTAGGATAAGGATTCCATCATGTGCATGATTATGGGGCGCAAAAATTAAACTCCAGAGAGGCTGCAGGGATTCAGTGGAGTGAACTACAATACCCAAGAGTTAGTCGAGTAGGAAGAACAGAGCACAATCCGCACACAGGGGAATATTCATTGATAAATAATCATCCAATCATAGTCTCCAATTTGTGAAAAAGCTGCTGTGTGGGGTGAATGGTGCAGAGCACCCTCTACTGACAGCTCTTATTGTTGCATCCTCTGAGAGCTGCCAGTGTGGGGTGAATGGTGCAGAGCACCCTCAACTGACAGCTCGTATTGTTCCATCCTCTGACAGCCGCCAGTGTGGGGTGAATGGTGCAGAGCTCCCTCTACTGACAGCTCGTATTATTGCATCCTCTGAGAGTCGCCGGTGTGGGGTGAATGGTGCAGAGCACCCTCTACTGATGGCTCGTATTGTTGCATCCTCAGAGCTGCCAGTGTGGGGTGAATGGTGCAGAGCGCCCTCTGCTGGCAGCTCATATTGTTGCATCCTCAGAGCTGCCAGTGTGGGGTGAATGGTGCAGAGCGCCCTCTACTGACAGCTCGTATTGTTGCATCCTCTGAGAGCCACCAGTGTGGGGTGAATGGTGCAGAGCTCCCTCTACTGGCAGCTCGTATTGTTGCATCCTCTGAGAGCCGCCAGTGTGGGGTGAATGGTGTAGAGCTCCCTCTACTGACAGCTCGTATTGCATCCTCTGAGAGCCGCCATTGTGGGGTGAATAGTGCAGAGCACCCTCTGCTGGCAGCTCATATTGTTGCATCCTCAGAGCTGCCAGTTTGGGGTGAATGGTGCAGAGCACCCTCTGACAGCTCGTATTGTTGCATCCTCTGAGAGCCGCCAGGGTGGGGTGAATAGTGCAGAGCACCCTCTGACAGCTCATATTGTTGCAGCCTCTGAGAACTGCCAGGGTGGGGTGAATAGTGCAGAGCAAAAAAGGGGGAGGTTGTGAAAAGAGATTCACAAAAAAGTGGCTACATAGTGAACAGAATGTGATACTCAGAAAAATTTCCAAAAATTATGCTTTATTACATATATAAATTTGACATTTGGGCAGTCGCCCTGGTTTACCATCACCTCAGTATGAGACAATACACACAGACCTAAAACCATATAAAATGACACCAAGACCGGTCTAAATACATGTGCAACAAAGACAGTGACTACTAGAGTCTAAGGTCTTTGTAGCACTGGCGCACAGGTGAACACTTCCCAAAGGGGGTGTATGCAAAAATTATACCATAGGTATACCATGTAACATGTTGTAAATATGTAGACATGTGCTACTACCAAAACGGTTATATCCCAAGCAGGGAGTTTCAAAAAATTATACTATAGATATAAAATATCACATGTATGCAATGCAGCAAGCACAGTATGCGTCAATAAGAGAAACATGCCTCTAGGCCTATATGAGACAAAAAATGAATGTCATATATAAAATGCAGTACATTCCTAAGCCGGCACATGTAGTTGGGGCCCATTCATCTGTAATATAGGCGACTGTTTCCTAGGGCTCTTAAGTGAGAATAAGCCCCATTTGTTACCAGGATGGAAGGATAGATGCAAAAGGCAAAATACTGCTTGAAATGGTTTCTTCACCACTGTATGTGGACTACACACCACTTTCTGTAAGGAAAACAAGACAAATCCCAATAGATCTTCTGCCTGTTGAGATACATGTGGTATATCCTGTTTCCTATGAAAAGCACCATGATGTCCCCATCCTGTAGTGAAACAGACAATATGTGGAAAGTCACTGGAAGAGCTTTCACTCTATATGAGATATATAGGACCATATAACTAGTGTCCTGTAACAGTCCACTCACCACCTGCGCAATGGATAAAAGGAGAGGAAGAGATGTCCTTCGTAAGTACTGCCTTACAAGGCCAAAGAGGCCAAGGCGACTGCCCAAATGTCAAATTTTATATATGTAATAAAGCATAATTTTTGGAAATTTTTCTGAGTATCACATTCTGTTCACTATGTAGCCACTTTTTTGTGAATCTCTTTTCACAACCTCCCCCTTTTTTGCATGTCTTTTTTGGCTACTGAATGGAGGCCATCTACTGGGTGATATGGTAATTTATTTTACAACCTCTAAATAACTATCTTTAACTAATGAATAGTGCAGAGCACCCTCTGCTGGCAGCTCGTATTGTTGCATCCTCTGAGAGCTGCCAGTGTGGGGTGAATGGTGCAGAGCTCCCTCTATTGACAGCTCATATTGTTGCAGCCTCTGAGAACTGCCAGTGTGGGGTGAATGGTGCAGAGCTCCCTCTATTGACAGCTCATATTGTTGCAGCCTCTGAGAACTGCCAGTGTGGGGTGAATGGTGCAGTACACCCTCTGCTGACAGCTGGTATTATTGTATCCTCAGAGCCGCCAGTGTGGGGTGAATGGTGCAGAGTACCCTCTACTGACAGCTGGTATTGTTGCAGCCTCTGAGAGCCGCCATTGTGGGGTGAATGGTGTAGGGCAACCTTTCTCAACATTTTTTACCCGAGTAATAATTTTCAGATCTCAGGGAGCCCCTACTAAGATTACCCCATGAGGGGTCATTAGGAAAACGCTGCATACAATGTTGATTAGTAGGATGAATGTCCTCCTTTACAGCCAGCTAAAAAGATAACTAGTGCTATGCTACGGCCCATGTGGTGCTAGACCTGGAACCATGCAGGCGACAGAAAATGAGTGGTCAGTCACTGCTCAAGGAACCCCTAGCAACCTCTGCAGGAACCCTGGTAGATAACGACTAGTATAGAGCACCCTCTGCCGACAGTTCATATTATTGCAGCCACTGACTGCTGCCAATGTGCTGTGAATGATGCAGAGCACCCTCTGCTGACAACTCCTGTCATTGCAGCCTCTGATACTTGTCAGTGTTGAGTGAATGGTGCAGAGTTCCCTATGCTGGCAGCCTATGAGAAATCTGTCATTATGGGGTGAATGCTACAGAGTGCCCTCTGCTGACAGCTTGTATTATTGCAGCCTCTGCAAGAAAGCTCCATTGTGGAACTACGGTATGGTGCGGTATGTGACCGCTCACTGCAAGGTAAGTGCCGCATTGGAGCTATGCTAGGAAAGTGCTTCTATTATTTCACCATCTGTAGCGAAGATTGTACATCATGGAACAGTCCCCTCCAGTACAATTCCAATCCTATCCCTAACTCTGCTAGCTAGGGGGCACCATTTCCTGTCGGAGAAGAAGAAGAAACTCCTCCAGGATGGAGCGAGGACGTGGTCATTTATCATATTGCAGCAACTGCTCTTGCTGATAATCAGTGTATAAATTCAGTGAACAGCCCAAGAATCCTGGCTGCTGGAAATTGTCTGGGGTGGTCTGGAGACCCCAGTGCTACAAATGGGAGGAGGTAAGAGAGGGGTCTGTTCCATTAGCTTTGGTCTGTCTGTGTGTGGCGTGCACTAACCCCCCCTTCCTCTGACAGTATAATGCTCTGGCTTTGGTTTGGCATGACTTTGGTGGTAGGTGGTGAGGGGTGACGGTTCAAGTATCATGGTAGGATTAAGACACCTTATTTCTCATCCAGGCACCCGTACAGCAACATTTGGAGGTGGTGATGACTGTGACAACAGCAGAAAGCAGTGAGGGGCCGGCTCCTCTGCTTCCCCAGGATCCCTGAGGGCAGGGGCTCCCACCGACTTCAAGACTCAGGGCTGGACTACCAAAGACGGGAGCGCGCACAATCATTGGGCAGATGGTGACAAGGACACCCAGATATTGTCTTCTCTTTATTTAAATAAAAATGATATGAAGGAAAGTGGCACATTGTGGAATGTTCTGTCCCTTCTGCACCCGCCTGATTTCTGTTGGCACCTTGTGATGGGACGTCCCGGGGAGACAACAGGGTGATGGTCTTTGGTGTCAGTTTCTCTTCTTCATGGAGGTAGCGGGGGGCTCCTGTATAACCTCCAGGTACTGGAATCCAATCAGCATGCCCAGGATGGAGAAACCTGCGGGGGAGGAGGGGAGAACAGATCTTGGAGTCAAATCACTTATCACATCATCCAATGAATCTGTGCTCTTCCCCCGAGTCCCCCACCTCACCTAACCCTGATGAAGTGTCATGTCAGCCCACACTGTGTCCTGCCTGCACCACATCCACCCACGCCTCATGCTGCTGGTCACATTTCAGCCCTGCCTGTCAAAAGTCTATTTGGACCTGGTCCTGCCCGTCACACTTCAGCCCCGCGCCTCGTCCTGCCCGTCAGCCCCGCGCCTCGTCCTGCCCGTCAGCCCCGCGCCTCGTCCTGCCCGTCAGCCCCGCGCCTCGTCCTGCCCGTCACACGTCAGCCCCGTGCCTAGTCCTCCCCGTCCCTAGTCCTCCCCGTCCCACATCAGCCCCGTGCCTAGTCCTCCCCGTCCCACGTCAGCCCCGCACCTCGTCTTGCACCTCACACATCAGCCCCATGCCTCATCCTGCCCATAACCCTGCACCTTGTCCTGCCCATCACACATCAGCCCCATGCCTCGTCCCGTCCTGCCCGTCACACGTCAGCCCCATGCCTCGTCCTGCCCATAACCCCGCGCCTTGTCCTGCCCGTCACACGTCAGCCCCGTGCCTCGTCCTGCCCATCACGTCATCCTGCCCGTCAAATGTCAGCCCCCGCCTCGTCCTGCCCATCACACGTCAGCCCCATGCCTCGTCCTCCCTGTCACATGTCAGCCCGCGTCTCGTTCTGCATGTCACACGTCAGCCCATGCCTCGTCCTGCCTGTCACACGTCAGCCCATGTTTTGTCCTACTTGACACACATCAGCTCATGCCACATCCTGACTGTCACACGTCAGCCCACACCATGTCCTGCCTGTCACACATCAGCCAGCGCCTCATCCTGCCTGTCACATGTCAGCCAGCGCCTCATCCTGCCTGTCACACGTCAGCCAGCGCCTCATCCTGCCTGTCACACGTCAGCCAGCGCCTCATCCTGCCTGTCACACGTCAGCCAGCGCCTCATCCTGCCTGTCACACATCAGCTAGCCCCTCATCCTGCCTGTCACACATCAGCCAGCCCCTCATCCTGCCTGTCACACATCAGCCAGCACCACATCTTACCTGTCTCATCCTGTCCATCACACTTCAGCCTATGCCATATCCTACCTCCAGCTCATCAGACATAGGCCCACACATCATCCTGCCTGTCAGACATTACACTTTCAGCTAGTCACATCAGCCCATGCCACATCCCTACTGTCACAAGTTAGTCCACACCATGTCCCACCTTCAGACCATCACATGTTGACCACGCTGCATTCCACCTCCTGCCTGTCATACATTAACCCACACCATGTCCCATCTCCAGCCATCATCTCACCTCTAAGTCCATAACACTACCACTAGTGATCACCTGTAACCTCTGATGCTGGGGGGGTTAGTAGCTTTGGGCCTTCTGTGAAGCTGCAGTAAACAAGTTCCTTTACCCAAAGCTATTAACCCCTGCAGCACTGGAGACAGGAAGAGGACAGGACCTCCCTGCATGGAAGATTTCCCCAAGATCCAGCTGCCTGAACCACGTGGGACATACTTCACTACAGGTAAGCAGGCACACTAAAGCTGTAAAAAATGTTTTTAAATGATTAAACTTCATCTTGAATCCGTGTAACTTCCTCTCTATTACTAAATGGATACAAGCTTCCAAGTGGCCAGGCAGTTGGGATGTCACCATCTATGTGCTGGGCTTTCCTCCTGCCCAAGCAGTAAGAGGGCACCACCCTTGTGCTGAGCATTAGTCCTGCCCAAGCAGTGAGATGGCACCACCCTTGTGCTGGGCTTTCCCCCCTTCTCCCTCCCAGGCACTGAGATGTCACAGTTCCTGTGCTGGGCTTTCCTCTTTCCTCTAGCTAGTAAGAAGTCTCCATCCTTGTGCTGGACTTTCCTCCCTCCTCCTGCCCAAGCAGTGAGATGGCACCATCCTTGTGCTGCGCTTTACTCCTCCCCATGCAGTGAGATTTCTTCATCCTTGTGCTGCACTTTCTTCCTCCCGCCCCAGGCAGTGAGACATCACCATCCTTGTGCTGGGCTTTCCCCTTCTTCCTTCCCAAGCAGTGAGATGTCACAGTTCCTGTGCTTTCCTCCTCCTTCCTAGCTAGTGAGACGTCACCAACCTTGTGCTGGGCTTTCCTTTTCCCCAGGCAGTGAGATGTCCCCATCCTTGTGCTGGGCTTTTTTTTTCCCCAGGCAGTGAGATGTCCCCATCCTTGTGCTGGGCTTTCCTCTTCCCCAGGCAGTGAGATGTCCCCATCCTTGTGCTGGGCTTTCCTCTTCCCCAGGCAGTGAGATGTCACCAACCTTGTGCTGGGCTTTCCTTTTCCCCAGGCAGTGAGATGTCACCAACCTTGTGCTGGGCTTTCCTCTTCCCCAGGCAGTGAGATGTCCCCATCCTTGTGCTGGGCTTTCCTCTTCCCCAGGCAGTGAGATGTCCCCATCCTTGTGCTGGGCTTTCCTCTTCCCCAGGCAGTGAGATGTCCCCATCCTTGTGCTGGTGGGCTTTCCTCTTCCCCAGGCAGTGAGATGTCCCCATCCTTTTGCTGGGCTTTCCTCTTCCCCAGGCAGTGAGATGTCACCAACCTTGTGCTGGGCTTTCCTTTTCCCCAGGCAGTGAGATGTCCCCATCCTTGTGCTGGGCTTTCCTCTTCCCCAGGCAGTGAGATGTCACCAACCTTGTGCTGGGCTTTCCTTTTCCCCAGGCAGTGAGATGTCACCATCCTTGTGCTGTGCTTTACTCCTCCCCATACAGTGAGATTTCACCATACTTCTGCTAGACTTTCTTCCTCCAGCCCCAGGCAGTGAGGTGTCACTACCCTTGTGCTGGGCTTTTCCCCCCCTCTTCCTTCCCAAGCAGTGAGATATGTCACAGTTCCTGTGCTGGGCTTTCCTTCTCCTTCTTCCTAGTCAGTGAGCCATCACCGCCCTTGCACTGGGCTTTCCTCTTCCCCAGGCGGTGAGCCGTCACCGCCCTTGCGCTGGCCTTTCCTCTTCCCCAGGCGGTGAGCCGTCACCGCCCTTGCACTGGGCTTTCCTCTTCCCCAGGCGGTGAGCCGTCACCGCCCTTGCGCTTGGCTTTCCCCCTCTTCCTTCCCAAGCAGTGAGATATGTCACAGTCCCTATGCTGGGCTTTCCTCCTCTTTCTTCCTAGTCAGTGAGCTGTCACCGCCCTTGCGCTGGGCTTTCCTCTTCCCCAGGCAGCGAGATGTCATCATTTTACTCCCAGCCAACACAGAGCCTAAGGGCTCATTCTCACCTGAGTGCAATAAACCCCCATAATATTCCCTACTGTGGAGTCCCGAGTGTTCCATCTCTGCCACCATCTCGCATTCTGCCAGCCATACGCTTGCTGTTCTCTGCTGCCATGATTTGTCATGTGATGTTCTCTCTGCATGTGCTGGTGATTTTGGATGGGATGCTTTCCTGCGCATAGATCATAGCAAGCACACAGACTGCAGACTATGCTGTGTGATAGCATGGGGGTGGGACAGTAATTACTCACTTGCGACCATAAGTGGCGCCATGACTCCAATGGTCATGTGAGCAGTGTGATAAATCCAGACTTCGGACGTAAAGTGGCCCAGCGCCAGGATGAAGGTCCACAGGGTGAGGTGGTAGAGTCTGCAGGAATAAAACAAAGAAGAACTCAGGTGAGGTGATGCCACATAGAGGAGACAACTAGCAGGCAGAAAATGTCAAACCTACGTCTTATTGCGGATATCGATGGCACAGGCACAGCGAATCACAGACGAGAGCAGCGTCCAGATCCCGAAGGTGCGAGCCTGCAGGCCATTCACTAAGAGAAAGCGGATATTGGAGAGATGGAATCATCAGAGAACACGCTAACACCATGTGTGTACAGCGCCACCTGAGACAAAGGCTGATTATGTGTACTGCGCTATTGCTATATCATCAGAGCCATGCAGCCACTCTGAGTCCCACGCAGGTGATTGGTGGGGGAGTGTGGACTTTCTCCTACCTTGGCTCGGCCTCCCTGTGTATAGTTTATCGCTCAGGAAGCTGTGATCGCGGAAGCTCTGCAGAGTGTTTCCAGCCGCAATAATGGAAACCATCATCAGCCAACTGCGCAGGACAGCAAGGAAGCGACTCATACTGGCCACCGACACCCTGAAGACTCTGATCAGCCGTCAGCTGAGGGGACAGAACAGGGACCGGGGACAACAAATCATTCGACTCAGAAATACTCACCCCAATATCCCAGCTTACCCACCCCCCACAAATACCCCTTCCCACCCTACTCATCTCCCCAAAAAAACCCTCCCAACTTACCCATCCCCTGTAAACCCCCCACCATACCTATCCCCCACAGATACCACTCCCCCCATACCTATCCCCCACAGATACCACTTCCCCCATACCTATCCCCCTGAATATCCCCTCCCACCTTACCCATCCCATATAGTGGTAAGATACCCATACTCCTCCATAATGTCCCCTCCACCGCTATACCCATACTCCTCCATAATATCCCCCCCACACTATACCCATACTCCTCCATAATATCCCCCCCGCCACTATACCCATACTCCTCCATAATATCCCCTCCACCACTATACCCATACTCCTCTACAATATCCCCCCCACCACTATACCCATACTCCTCTACAATATCCCCCCCACCACTATACCCATACTCCTCTACAATATCCCCTCCACCGCTATACCCATACTCCTCCATAATATCCCCTCCGCCACTATACCCATACTCCTCCATAATATCCCCTCCACCACTATACTTATACTTTATAATATGCCTCCAACTACTATAATACCCCCCCATCACCACTATACCCATACTCCCTGTAATACCCCCTACTAATATACCCATATTCCTCTACTATTATTTCTATACCCCCTAGAATATCCCCCCCACTATATCTATACCCATATTATACCTCTTACCACTTTACCCATACCTCTCTATACTGACTCTCTACAATTATTTATACCCCACTATATACTCATCTACCACTATACCAATATCCCCCACCATAATAGTCCTACCAATTCTCAATATCATCCCCCTGTGACATATATCATACACTGTAGGATCCCCCCCCATGACATCATACACTGTAGAATTCCCCCCCATGATGTCACACACACACTGTACAGTCCCCCCGTGACGTCACACACTGTAGAAACCCCCGTGACATCACACACTGTAGAGTTCCCCCCCCCCCCGTGACGTCACACACTGTAGAGTCCCCCCCCGTGACATCACACACTGTAGAACACCCCCCCATAATGTCACACACTGTAGAGTCCCCCCGTGACGTCATACACTGTAGAGTCTTCCCCATGACATCACACACTGTAGAACCCCCCCCCCCCCCCCCCCGTAACGTCACACACTGTAGAGTCCCCCCCGTGATGTCACACACTGTAGAACACCCCCCCCCCCCGTGACGTCACACACTGTAGAACCCCCCCGTAACGTCACACACTGTAGAGTCCCCCCCCCGTGACATCACACACTGTAGAACACCCCCCATATAATGTCACACACTGTAGAGTCCCCCCCGTGACGTCATACACTGTAGAGTCTTCCCCATGACATCACACACTGTAGAACACCCCCCCCTGTGACATCACACACTGTAGAACACCCCCCCCCCCCGTGACATCACACACGATACAGTCCCCCCCGTGACATCACACACGATACAGTCCCCCCCGTGACATCACACAGGATACAGTCCCCCCCCTGACATCACACAGGATACAGTCCCCCCCGTGACATCACACAGGGTACAGTCCCCCCCCCCCGTGACATCACACACGATACAGTCCCCCCCCCGTGACATCACACACGATACAGTCCCCCCGTGACATCACACACGATACAGTCCCCCCCGTGACATCACACACGATACAGTTCCCCCCCCCCGTGACATCACACACGATACAGTTCCCCCCCCCGTGACATCACACACGATACAGTTCCCCCCCCCGTGACATCACACACGATACAGTCCCCCCGTGACATCACACACGATACAGTTCCCCCCCCCCCGTGACATCACACACGATACAGTCCCCCCGTGACATCACACACGATACAGTTCCCCCCCCCCCCCGTGACATCACACACGATACAGTCCCCCCCGTGACATCACACACGATACAGTTCCCCCCCCCCCCCCCCCGTGACATCACACACGATACAGTCCCCCCCCCCCGTGACATCACACAGGATACAGTCCCCCCCCCCCGTGACATCACACACGATACAGTTTCCCCCCCCCCCCGTGACATCACACACGATACAGTCCCCCCCGTGACATCACACACGATACAGTCCCCCCGTGACATCACACACGATACAGTCCCCCCGTGACATCACACACGGTAGAAGCCATTCTTCTTCTCACCTCTCAGCGTCTCTCCAGCTCCGCTCAGTTCAGGTTCATTGTCCCAGCTGTCAAGCCTAGCCCCGCCTTCTACCTGTCACGTGCTCCCTCTGCTCCGTCTGACTGGCGAAGAGACAACCTCGTGGAGCTCGGACCAACGCGCAGCGCCCCGCCCCCTCTCCACGGTAACCAGCGGCGGCGGCGGGGGGCGGGACTCGGAAATGACGCATGGCGGCGCTGTTGTTGTGGTAACGGAGAAGCGAGAAGAGATGCCGAGCCGACTATGCCGGGAGGAGGAGGAGGAGGCCGCGGGGTGATTATTATTGTGGGGGATGGGGTGATATTGTGTTATTATTGAATTAGGAGATGAATAACACTATGAGGAAGAATGCCATTACCCGGGGCCCCGCGGAGATGCAGATCTTTATGGAGCTCTGGGTGTCCGTCCAGGATTCTGGAGGTCATTCTGGGGTCCTAGAGGTCTGCCCTGGGCAATGCGGAGCTGTCTGGGGCTCTGGAGGTCTGCCCAGAATTCTGGAGGTCTGTCTGGGGTGCTTCTGGTCTGTCCGGAACTTTGGAGGTCTGTTCGGGGCTCTGGAGGCCTGTCCGGAACTTTGGAGGTCTGTTCAGGGCTCTGGAGGTCTGTTCGGGGCTCTGGAGGTCTGTCCGGAACTTTGGAGGTCTGCCCGGGGCTCTGGATGTCTGCCCGGGGCTCTGGATGTCTGCCCGGGGCTCTGGATGTCTGCCCGGGGCTTTGGAGGTCTGTCCGGAGTTCTGGAGGTCCGTCTGGAACTTTGGAGGTCTGTCTGGAACTTTGGAGGTCTGTCTGGAACTTTGGAGGTCTGTCTGGAATTTTGGAGGTCTGTCTGGAACTTTGGAGGTCTGTCTGGAACTTTGGAGGTCTGTCCGGGGCTCTGGAGGTCTGTCCGGAATTCTAGAGGTCTTTCCGGGGCTCTGGAGGTCTGTCCCGGGTGCTGCTGGTCTGTCCAGTGCTTTGCAGGTCTGTCCGGTGCTCTGGAGGTCTGTCCGGGACCCTGGAGGTCTGTCCGGGACCCTGGAGGTCTGTGCGGGACCCTGGAGGTCTGTGCGGGACCCTGGAGGTCTGTGCGGGGCTCTGGAGGTCTATGCGGGACCCTGGAGGTCTGTCCGGGACCCTGGAGGTCTGTGCGGGACCCTGGAGGTCTGTGCGGGGCTCTGGAGGTCTGTGCGGGACCCTGGAGGTCTGTGCGGGACCCTGGAGGTCTGTGCGGGACCCTGGAGGTCTGTGCGGGACCCTGGAGGTCTGTGCGGGACCCTGGAGGTCTGTCCGGGGCTCTGGAGGTCTGTCCGGGGCCGTGGAGGTCTGTGCGGAACTATGGAGGTCTGTCTGGGGATATGTGTTGGGAGATGCATGGGGCTCTGGAGTTCTGTCCGGGCCCGTGGAGATCTGCCCAGGGCTCTGCAAGGGTGACAGGGCTCCGTAGGTTGGTCCAAGGCCTTGCAGGTCTTTCTGGGGCTCTGTAAGTCAGTCTGGGGCTGCATTCTAATGCAACATCTCCTCCCTGATAGGCTGGGAAGGCTCTGCATTGATAATAGGATTTACCTGAAAGGAAACAGTGTGATGGCTGTGATTGCTCTTCATGTGTCCTTCTGAAATCACCGCACACAGGAATTCTTTGGTAATAATCAATATTAGAGTTCCAACCATCATCATCATCATCACAAGGAGCCGCCATTTTCCCTTCCTGAGAGTCACTAGGTGTCCCCCCAGATACCATGCAGACACTCTGGGCTGGGGGACCCAAATATGTCCAATGGGTTTATTAAAGTGATATTAAACCCCAAATAAATATCTGTTGTATCTTACCATTCTTAGATGTGACGGCTGCATTCATTTTCATTTTTCAGGCTTTTTCTTCCCTTTATTTTCACCTGATGGTCCTGCCAGCAAGTCTGTTATTTTTCATCTTCCTATAACTGACCAAACTGTCATGCAAAAATGTCAGTTAGAGGGTTGAGACAAACCATTTACCAATGACAGGGGTGCTTACAATAATCAGCTTTTATTCATTTAAAACCTATATTCCTAAGCCCTGGTTCTCACGATTCCAAATAGCATGACAGGTCGCACCCAATTGCCGGCAATGGAATCGCAACATGAGTCGCAGCGGCTTTGAAAACAGGTTCCTGCACTACATTTTCACTGGTTTCATTGTGACGTGCATTGACTTTTGTTAAATGAAGGCCAAGCCGCAGTGAAATCGGAGGTAGAAATCACACTGATCTGCGGCTTTGTAATCGCGCTGAAGCACTTCTGTTAACCAGGGCTAAAGGGAACAAACAGTTGATGTAATTGATTTATTATTATTATACAGTATTTATATAGCGCCAAAAAGTTTGCTCAGCGCTGTACATTATAGTGGGGGACAGAACATGAGACAATATGGTAACAATACAATACATGAGGGGTTCGAAGGCCCTGCTCCTTGGAGCTTACAATCTAGGAGGGAGGGGATAGTGGTACAGGAGGAAGTGGCTGTGGGGGATGGAGTGGAGGAGATCGGCTGTTAGGTGAGGGTGGGGTAGGCTTCCCTGAAGAGATGGGTTTTCAGGGTGCGCCTAAAGGTGAGGAGGGTAGATTTAAACCCCGGTCACATCAAGCCCAACTTTCAAATCGTGCGACTTACAGTGAATTCGCACGACTTCAAAGTCAGGGGACCCACCGATTTCAGGTGCGATTTGCAAGACATGACACAGATGTCTATGCAAATCTATATGGGCAGCACAGTGGCTAAATGTTTAGCACTTCCGCCTGGCAGTACTAGGGTCGTTGGTTTGAATCCCAACCACGGCACCACCTGCCTGAAACCAAAATAATACGCAGAATCCTCCTGCGCTCTTATGTAATATGACAAAAAAAAGAGAAAAGAATAAACATTCTAAAAAGCTGCTAACATCTAATCCTACAGCAATAGGCCCCAAAAACATAAAATTAATAAACTGATGTAGCGCTCATGTGAACACAGATGATGATATGGTGACCACACAGTGAAAACATACACATTACAAGTCCTAGTAGGGACCATATATAGTGAATGGTCAAAAACCAGGGGGTATCCCCTAATCAATATGGGGATAATGAAATCGTGACCCCCTAGTCCACAATAAGGGACATAAACAGATGTACAGTGAATCCCTCCACAGTGATCAAAAATATATTACAGTGTGAGTAGAAAACAGCACTTCAAATCAATCCACAGAATAGTTCGGTGATCTGTGTTACATTCCTTCTGGTCATGCAAAAGGGAGGAATGTGTGTAAACTGACACACCCTGGATGTGATCCAATAATCGCTGTAATGGCCTCTCACCTCCACCCTGCAACCCTACAGGGCCACAGCGCCTTTATAATACCACCACTGGGCCTCTCAGCAGACAGACTCCTGCCTGGAGTTTGCATGTTCTCCCTGTGCCTGTGTGGGTTTCCTCTGGGTACTCCGGTTTCCTCCCACACTCCAAAGACATGCTGGTAGGTAAATTGGCTCCTGTCTAAATTGGCCCCTAGTATGTATGTATGAATGTGAGTTAGGGACCTTAGATTGTACGCCCCTTGAGGGTTAGGGACTGATGTGAATGTACAATATATATGTAAAGTGCTGAGTAAATTGACGGCGCTATATAAGTACCTGAAATAAATAAATCGCACCAAAAGTAGCGCATGTACTACTTTAGAAATCGGTGCGGCTCCAACCAAGTGACAGTTATCATTCATGGCATGCTTTGAATGTAATTATCTTGGCAAACAAATCGATGGTTTAGTTTCAGATTTAAAATGTTAGCTGGAGTTGGGCTTTAATTTGGTATTCATGTCCATCTAGATCCACTAATGCATCTAACACTACCCTCTCCCCAGACTGACAATGTTGCTGTCCAAAGATGTGTCTCCATTGCTCTTTCATCCAGAGTGGAGATACCCTAAGATGAAGTGTGTTACTGGCCAGATCAACTGGTAAAAATGAAAGAAAAGGTATCTAAAAAAAGAAATCAAATGCAGCCACCACAAATAATGGCTTGGTAAGCTGCAATGTATTACATTTGTTTTTGGTTTTAATGATGCTTTAACCCTTTTGCTGCCATGTCCGCCTGGTGTACGGCTCTACAGCACTGCGTCCAGCAGGCCTGCTATAAGCTCATGGTCACTCCTCGACCCCCCCCCCCCCCCCCCCCCCGCCAATACTGCTGCCTCTCTACCTGTCACCCGCTCCTTCTTCCCCTCCTGCATTGCCTAAAATGCCTGCGCTGCCCCCTCCACTGTTCTCTGCCTCCACCACCTCCCCTTCCCCCATCCCAGGCAGCACAGGTCCCATGAAATTACCAACTTCCCACCGCTGCCACTCCTGCTGGCTATTGCAGTATTAAATACTCATAAACACCCCCTTCTGCATCCCCCCTCACTCACAAAACCCTGGCGGCCCTTCATGCAGCTCTGCTAGCCGGATTTGCCTCCACCCCTCTTGCCAGCTGCTGCCCGAGAGATCAGCGAATAGAGGATGGAGAGCGGGGGGCTGCTAAACATGTGTTTACCAACCCCTTTTCTTTCCTGAATGAACAGTGATCGGTAGTGATCAATCTTTTCATTCATCACTGACACATAGTAAACTGTGTGTGTTTACTATGTGTCAGTTTGTGAATGAATAGGAGTCTCTATACAGACTCCTATCTCATTCATTACAGTGCAGCTCAGGTTGAAGAGAAAGGGACTGTCTGGGGTCTGAAGAGAAGGGCCTGGCAGCGAAAGGTCTAAGTAACACAGGAACCCACAGACACCCGTCAGGTGCTTGTAGGACATAGACTTGTGTTGGCAGCCATATCTTCAGATGTATCCAGAGTGTTGTAGTACATTCCCATTGATGTTTATGGAAGAGGCAGCTCTGACACACACAGATATCCATGTGTACAGGCCCTAATGAAGCTGACCTGGTACTGACTGTTCTAAAAGAGGGAACATTGGGGCTGCTGACTCTTCCCTTGAAGGTTTCAGCTCGTGCCGTGCTTTCCTTCTCTTCCCTGGCTAATGCAATGTCACCATCTATGATAAGTATTCCCAAACAAATGTCCTCTTTATCAGCGATGTCCCTGAGTTTGAGCATATTTGAGTGTCGTTTTTCTCACTGCTTCTGCTGTATTTCTGTTTAGGGATTCCCCCCGCATCCTCTGGACTGGAGCCTCTCGCAAAGTGCCCATAATTGTTTTCCATCCAGAGGCCATCCTCACCAAAGAGCCATCATGGCGCACTGTGGGAGGTAAGGACAAAAGAGTTGTCGGCACCTAGAATGTGATCTGGGCCCTAAACAGTGCATGGTGCCCAGGTCAGGATCTTTGTAGAATTATTGTGTTTCTGGTTATCTCTCATCTTTCTCCTGCAGAGCGCTACCACCTGACCTTCAAGATGGTGCGTACAGACAGCCGACTGGTGCGCAACATTCTCTCTGCCCATGGCTTTCAGGAGGTGAGATAAGCATGTCTGTATGTCCTCCGTATCCCTGATCGCCGCCCTCTCGTTATAACGCCATGTGGTTTTCGCAGCAGGTTGATTGAACTGGTGCAGCTCTGCATAGACACCAATCAGCTTCCAGGTTTTTTTTTTTAATTTGTTTTTTCAAAGCTTAATTGAACAAGCTGAAGTTAGAAGCTGTTTGGCTTCCATGCACAGCTGCACCAGATTTTGCACTCTCCAATTTGAGCTAATCTGCCCCCTTGTCTCCTTCCCCAGGTCAATGCCAATAGTAACGACTTTAACCTCATGTGGACAGGATCACACATAAAGCCACATCTCATGCGAAATCTGACGAGCTTCCAGAGAGCCAACCACTTTCCAAGGTACGGGTATTATGGGATTTAATAGTCTGTCATCAGAACAGAGCCTGACCATCCTCATGGCAAACTAGACAGCAGCCTAGGACCCAGGGGATGTTCTAGTGGCCCAGCGACAACTTTTCTGCTCCTGCAGTAAAACAGGGAATAAAAGCTGTTCATCTGCCTCTCAGAAGAGAGGATTTATTGTAGGCAGTTGGTGTCTGTTGGAGCCTGTTAGACAGGACTTCACTGTCCATTCCATACCTGATCAATGTCATATAAAGAACCACAGATGGGACTTTACTGGTACAGAAAATGGACAACCTCATGTTATTGTATAAAAACATATTTATTGAAACATATCTTACAAAAATATACGATATATGAGGGATGAGGTACATTTGCAGTCTGATTTCTATACCTGATCAATGTCATTTAATGGGATAAGGGGCCAAAGCTGGCCTTCGTCTCTTGAAGGAAGTGAGCAGATAGTGAGGAGGTTATTTGTCCATCTCTGTATCGTAATAATAAAGCTGCAGAAATGTTGGGCAGCTATCTTCCTGCGTGTGAATGTAATCTGCCAGGTCGTAGGACCCCTGCCGAGGTGCCACCTGAATAATTCTTTGCAGGCTGAACAGTAGAAATGATAACGGATTGGAAAGAGGGAGAAAAGGCGTATTGACCCTCATTGTTACAACCTCCATTAATCTGTTATTATACCCCCATCTGTTTCCAAAGTGCTGGTTATCCAGGCAGATGGAAAGCTGGACTCTCCTGTTCAAAAGGTAATAGGTATGTGAGCGCACTACAAGTAGCAGCTATGCACGGTAGGTAACCAAATAAAACCCGTAAATCAGAATAAAACAACGTAGTGCAGCACTAAAAAGAATAAATCTAATAAATTGCCTTTATGATAAATAGAATAAAGTTCATGGATATATGGTCATAAAATCTAAATGTTCCAAAAGTGACAATAGTGCTCTGAAGGTGCCTGCTTCAAAGATTATCCGGTGCTCGTGCAGATGGAAATAATAAAATTGCGCACTCACCAGATGCACAATTTTAATGCGCATATATATATATATAGGTATAGATGTCCTCTCAATGGGATCAGGGTAGAACAGATCCCTCTGAAGGGTAGATGGCACAACGGCGATTCCAGGGCTTAATGGGCTTAATGTCGATCCAAGACAGCCAGAGGTCCCCTACAGGGTTTGGTGGATGCAGTATCCTGGGTAGACAGGAGATCCCCTCTCTGGGTACTGGGATGGATCTTATATGGGCTTCTGCCTTATGTTGGAGTCTGTGATAAGCTCCTGGACACACACAGAAGCTTTATCAGTTTGTCCTTTAAGTTTGGTGGGGGGGGCTCTATCTCTGACTCGTATCGAGCAAGGTTCCTCGAAAGGCAAATCAGACACCTGTCTAGCAGAGGATCCCTACTCTCCTGTTCCCTGTCTACCTTTGTGTGTTTCAGGTCCTACGAGTTGACCCGCAAGGATCGTTTGTACAAGAATGTACAGCGCATGCAGCAAACACACGGTGTATGCAACTTCAGCCTCCTGCCTCAGACTTATCTGCTCCCTGGAGAATACCAGGACTTCTGCAGTGAGTGTCACCATCCTTTTTGTAGAGTATGTAGAATAAATCTTAGATTGTAAGCTCCCAGGATCAGGCCCTCCTATCCCTCTTGTATTGAACTGTATTGTTGCTGTATTGTCTCCCGTTATATTGTAAAGCGCTGAGCAAACTGTTGGCGATATATAAATCCTGTATAATAATAATAATGAATCTTACAATAGGGCAATTGTACTGTTAGCAGCTGAGTATGCTGTGTGGAGACTCTGTGATCTATAGATACAAATATGTGAGTAAATCTCCCATCGTTCTCTCTTTCTGCAGGTGCTTTTTCTAAGGACCGCGGCCCTTGGATTGTAAAGCCAGTGGCATCGTCCAGAGGACGGGGCGTCTATCTGGTGAACTCTGTATGTCACGAGAACAATATTGTCTAGCTTTGAAGCTATAGTGAGCCCTTCTACTGCCTATGTGCCCGTCTTCCTGTGTTCGTTCTCTCTCTCTGTTGAGTTGTGTCATGGAAATTTCCCAGACTGTCTCTCTCTGGTCTCAGTGTGCATTCTGTGTCTCAGTCCTTATGTCTGTGGTTGTCGGTGAATTGAGGACAGTGAAATCGTCACAGGTCTTGGAGTATGGTCCCCTTCTTTCCTGTTATGTACTGACACCCAGCTTTCTGTCTCTCTTCCAGCCCTCACAGATAAGCCTGGAAGACAATATTTTGGTGTCTCGTTACATCAGTATCCCTCTACTCATAGATGGTGAGTGTCAGCAGCCCTCGTATTTTGTTAGAGGGTTTGGATGTGAAGGAGGTGAGCAAGTGGCGGGGAGGTTTTTTGGAGGGTCTTACGAAGTTCTGGAAGGTGGTGGGGAGGTAAGCGGGTGGTATAGAGGCGAGTGGGGTTCTTATGATCCTCTGAGCATGTGATAAGAAGGTGGGCAGGGAGAGAGGATGGTATGTAGGTGAGGTGTGAGCTGGGGGTCATATAATTTTCTGGATGATGGCGAGTAGGTAATCAGGTTGTGTGGAGGGGAGTAGTGTGGAGGTGCATGCCGGCTGTGTAAAACTCACTATGTTTTCCATCCTCTAGGGTTCAAGTTTGATGTCCGCCTCTATGTGCTGATCACCTCGTACGATCCTCTGGTCATTTATCTATATGAAGAAGGGCTTACTAGGTAAGTATGTCTTCATACACAGAAAACTGCCTGATTTTTTTTCTCTTTCTCTCACACAGCTGATGACACATTTAAAAATGGTTTAGACTCTAAACTTTAGAGGACATTTATGCTACCTGTCAGCAACACAGCTTATGAAGGTGTTCCTGGAAAAAGGCCATAAGTCATCTATTCACAACCTGTCTATCTGAGTGCAGGTCTAGGGTTCACTCTCTGTATAGAACTGGGACCCACACTGTGCCCACCTGAGTAAATGTCTATGGTTTTCACCCCATTTCAGCCTTGCCTGTGCTGCACTTCTTTCTCTATTACCCATTGAGGGATACAAAATTATTAAATTAATTATTAAACCGTGCCACCACTACAACCATGTCAGGGCTCCTGGTAAGACCAGAGATGCGTGAACTGACACAGGGAAAGGCAGGCTCAAGTATGGTGTAACAATATAATTTATTAAGGGTTATACACAAATATAACGCACAATATAACAAAACCAGACCTCCAACTGATAACGGAATGTACACAGATAAGAGCAGTCAGGGCTGGCAAAGTGGAGTGGTCAGGCGGGCCGGGTCAGGAATCATTGGGCAGACAAGACACAAAGGAGTAGGCAGAGCATAGTCAGACGGGCCGGGTCAGGAACAATCAGGCAGACAAGGTACCAAAGGAGCAGGCTGGAGAGTGGTCAGGAAAAGCCGAGGTCAGGACAGGTGGAGTTCATTCAGGGTCAGGATCAGGCAGAATCAGGAATCAGGCAGGAAGCAGGCAGGATGCAGGTACAGGGGCTCATGGGAAACATACACCAAGGCACTGACTGCAGGTCTGGCCATTCCTTAAATACACTTCCTGCAATCAGCCTCAGGTGATGGCTGACTGCAGAGGTGAGCTTCTGGTTGCTGAGAGCACCCGCTGGCCAGCCCTGGTACTGCATCCCATAAGGCAGGTGAGTCCCACCACCATTGGCAAGTCCATTCCTGACAAACCACATTTAGCAATAGCATAATAAATGAATGTACTCAGCAATTGGAATTGTAAATGGCAATAAGTGTATGGCTACGGAGACATACAGTATATTGAGCCAAGTTGTGACATGGACTGTTACAAATGGGTGCTACTCCACAAGGCCCCAAGCAACCTTTGTACTGACCGAACATTAACATACCAATGTGAAAAAGAGAGGTTCTGTAGAAGCAAACACTCATATTTTAGATAAAATAAAGGAAGATTCTAAAAATGGGATAGGGATATATTTACAGGACACAGAAATTCTATTACAGCTGGGTTATGCTGCCATCTACCTTGAAAGTTGGGACACTGGCAAACAAACATACAGTAAGCTAGCTCAGGATAACCCCTTCTCTACCAGCGTGTCTCAGTTTTTTTTCTATGTCGTAGCAGGTGGGATGCTTTTTCTTCAGCTAAAAAAGTCCTATCTTTTTTGCTATCCTTCTAACCTTGGTGACTTTAATCATGATTTTGTTACATTACTGGTGTTTTTAACTCAGTGACTGCAATCAAGATTCCTCTCTACACTACTACTTGAGCTGATCTCTACATAGCAGCTATCTGGATCATCAGCTCCTCAGCACTGGCTTTGGAGGCTGTACATGGACCCGCTGGATTGGACATGCAGGACTAACTTTGAATGTGACCTTCAGGTGCTGGGCTCTCCATTTTGGCACTTTTGAGACCTGAGTGTACTCCAGGTCCAGAGCCCCAGGTGTGACGTTGTCTCTGAAGACTCACTTAAGCTGGCCATAGATGGATCGTCATGCGGCTCGTTCAGCAGGGTCTGGCCGAATAGCAATCATCTGTGGCTGGTCCTGTTTGAGAGGAGATGGCCTAGTGATCAACTTCTCTCTAATGGGACTGTTGGAAAACATTTGTTCGATCAACAAATGCAGCCAATCGGCTGCAACACTGATCAGTGTACTCTGATGGCAGGGGAGTCCCGCTGTGAGAATACGATTTTCCGCATCCACCTCGAATGTGTGGATAGGGGTAACCTATTGTGGCTTTTTTTTTTTGTTTCTTTTTTTGAACAACCATCTGGCTGATCAAAAGAAAAACTAACCATCTATAATCTATGGCCATCTTTAGTGAGTAAGGCCTGTCCAGCTTAAGCACCAGGAGCTACCTCACTGCTGCACCGTTAGGTGGTCTTTATAAATTTTTCCGCTACTGCTGGTTTACTGTAATGAGGGTTAAGGCAGGGGGATCGAGTACTGACATCCTCCATTTGGTGGAATGCAGCACATGATCAATGCCCTTTTTCCTGTCATTCAGGCCAGAGGAAACACCATCCTGCTTCTGCTCTTGAAGCACCAAATGTGTCTCTGGCCTCATTCCTCTGTCTGCCTACACTTGGTCACCTCTGCTTGCCTGAAACCCTCATCAGCACCTTCTGCCTGTTTTTTTAAGTATTGAGGCCATGCATCTCTTTGTACCTAGTTGCAATTCTGCTGTGCAGATGCAACACGTCTTCATTAAAAACACAGGGGGGGCAGTTTCACTGCCACAGGTTACCTTAGCCCATGCTCCTGCCTCAGTGCAGGAGATAGGTGAAAGATTCAGAGGAACCCCCTGCTCCTTCTTCTACTGCAGTCATTGCCTGTGGATATTCAGAACCTGCTTTTCACTCCCTACTTCAGAGCTTGATTGGGGCAGGCTGTTTATTCATCCAACTGGCTCCCTGGGCACTGAACCTCCATAGCATTTGATTGCTCAGGTCACCCCTTGTAGCTATCAAGCCAGATTCCTGAAATATCTTGTTCAGTTGTTCCTCATCAGCCTTTGAATAGGGCTGTTCCCAATGTGCAAAGTCCTATTGAGTTCTCCGCACTCTCGCTCTTCCCTTAGCAGGAACTTACCTTCCTAATTGTATCCCTCTTGAACTTGCACCCCTAGTTAAAGGGGTTTTCTATCTTTGGATACTGTTGATCATGTTATTTACCACCCACGAGTCCTATCCCTCTCCCAATGAATCCCCTGACCTACAAGGTCAACAGGAATCGACTCCAGCTGGTTCTTTGCCTCCATAAAGTTCTGTCTGTTTAGCCTCCTCTAGAAGTATCCATTCTAAGCACTGGGTCTTACCTCCTAGTGCTTCTCCTGGATTCCCTATTGAAGAACACTCAGGAGACCCTCCCAAAGTAGGTCTTTTTTCTGGACTCCCACTGACCAGGCCTTTAGGCCGGACTTTACACTTGCAGGCCTCCCTTGGGTCTGTCACTTTGTAACTTTGCTTCACCAAAAGGCAAGGTGGTTCAACTTGGCCCCCACTAAAGAGGTCCCTTTTAGTTGGACCTTTGCTCACTTCCTTACTTTTCATGGAAATTACCCCTTCCATCCCCTTTGAGGCTTGTGGGGTGTCTAGGAATTGTCCTTCTATGGCCACGGTCTCCCCTTCTCTTGTGGACTCTGTCATCTTCAGCCACTCCTTCGGCATCAGGGCATCTTGGCTTAAGGAAAGGAGAGACATCTAGATGATCCTTTGGTTCAAGAGGTCTGAGATGCTACCTTATAGTTTCGGATTGGGTACAGGGTTTTCATCTGATTCACCAGGACAGACTGTTCCCGCTTAATTGGGAGCTCCTTCTGGAAGCTGGTGTACTGACCAGGCCTCTGTTCGATGTCTCCATCAACATCAGGCATCAACATGTGGTTGATCTTCTGTCTTCCCCTTGATCATGGCAGTTCCTTGCAAAAGACTTCATCCTATTTATCCTTGATTTAGGAGTTGGCTGCTTCAGATACCACAGATGTGCAAATAGTACACCAAATGTATTTGGTCCTGTCAGTGGCTATTGCCCACCCCTCAGTTGATCTGCTTTTGAATGTCCCAACTGTTACAAAAAAAAAATTAGATTCCACTTCCAAGTGTTTTCTCCGGAACCATGTATTGCTGTCTCACAAAACTGAAGCATGCTGAGTAGACAAGGGGTTACACATTTTCTGTTAGCCAGTATAGGCAGCAGTACAACCTGACTGTTCCTGAATTCCTTTTTCCCTCAATGAACGTCTAAAAGAAAAAAGAAAAAAAAAAAAAGGTTTTACAGTAAGTACAAAAATCATATTTTTGACTGCTGGATGATGTACTTCTCACTGTTTTTTTTTTTTGTTTTGTTTTTAACGCAGGTTTGCCACAGTTCGCTATGACAGAGCAGCCAAAAACATCAAAAACCAGTTCATGCACCTTACCAACTACAGTGTAAATAAGAAGAGCGGTGACTATGTCAGGTACCTGGGGATCCACAGATTTTGTGTGTGTGTGTCCGTCCGTCCAGGTATATGTGTATATATACACGGGCGATTTTCTAAACCTGGTGCAGCTGCACATGGTAACCAATCAGCTACTCGCTTCAGTTTGTTCAATTAAGGTTTGGCAATAAAACCTGGAAGCTGATTGGTTTCTGTGCAGAGCTGCACCAAATTTCACACCATGTAGTTTTGGTAAACAACCCCTTCAGTGTGCATACAGAGAATATATGGGAGATTTACTAAACCTGGTGCACTCAGAATCTGGTGTAACTGTACATGGTAGCCAATCAGCTTCTAACTTCAGCTTGTCCAATTCAGCTTCGTCAATAACACCTGGAAGCTGATTGGTTTCTATGCAGAGCTGCACCAGATTTTGCACTCTCCAGTTTTAATAACTAACCCCCATATGTTATATATTCTCCTCCTCATCATCCCTTGTTTCTTTTTTTTTTTTTTTTTCTTCTGTCCTTTCTTAGCTGTGATGACCCAGAAGTGGAGGACTATGGGAATAAATGGAGTATGAGTGCAATGCTTCGATACCTAAAACAGGAAGGGAAGGACACTGCAGGTGCCATGACATTCCTCAAACCTCCCCAGACCCTCATATGTCACCAATGCTGGATATTGCTGGCCCTAATGCTGGATATGCTTGTTTCAGGCCTCATGTCTCAGGTGGAGGATTTGATCATTAAAACAGTTATCTCCGGGGAGCTTCCTATTGCTGCTGCTTGTAAATCCTTCCTTGCCAACAGAGGAAACTGTTTTGGTGAGTTTGTGGCGGTGTGCCCTTCCTGTAGTAGTAATGCTGGTGGTACTGCCCTCCTGCGATTGGTTGTATTACTGTTCCCATGTTGTTTTACTACAGAGCTCTATGGCTTTGATGTGCTGATTGACAGCAATATGAAGCCCTGGCTTTTGGAAGTCAATCTATCTCCGTCACTGGCCTGGTGAGTACGAATACTAGTAACATCATAGTGCCCCTGCTGGTGAGTGTGAGCCTCTCTGTGTAACGTCATCTTGGTGATTGCACAGTGGCCACTGCTGATCAACATCAGTCTCTGTATAACATATTATTTGTGATTGCATAGTGCCCGGGGCGGACTGACCATTTGGAAACTCGGGCACTGCCCGAGGTCCCGTGGTCAGTAGGGGGCCCCATGAGATGCCCCTGGTACATTTTTCATAGGCTTTTTTGAGTTTGGGCAAGGACACAGGGGCCCCATGATCCCCTATTGCCCGGGGGCCCCATGAGTTGTCAGTCCGCCCCTGATAGTGCCCCTTGTTTGTCAGTGTGAGTCTCTTTTGTAATGTTATCCTGGTCATTGTAAGGTGCCCCAAGCTGATCAGTGTGAACCCCTGTGTATTGTTACTCTTGTGATTGCACTGTGCCCCAAATTTGTGCCTCTCTATAGCACTGATAGTAGTAATTTTGTGCTGTACCTGCAGTGATGCTCCTCTGGATATGAAGGTGAAGGCCTCTATGATCTCAGACATGCTGACATTGGTTGGTGAGTATAGCATAGCGGGTTTATTGTCCGTGCCATGATGAGGTAAAGGGGGATGCTTTGTTGATGTGATTGATAACAGTCTTGATTGTGCAGGTGTGGAGTGTCAGGACCCCCTGCAGAGGCCAGGCCGTGGAGGAGTCATGCTGCATGACAAGCGAGTTCATAAAGCACAGGTAAGAGCCCGTAGCGGAAAAAAAATCAAGAGTGCCCGGACAACGTACTTTATATAAAGGTAAATGATTGCCTTCACAGAGACAGCGGCCGCTATCTGCCAGTGACATTGACATGGGCCTGCAGGCTGGGGGCAGAGACAAGAGTGGAAATCGCACAAGCAGCACCCTGGGGCTTTCTACTGAAGAGGTCAGCTTATTATTATTATTACATCGAGTTTATATAGCGCCAAAGGGTTTGCTCAACGCTGTACAATAGGGGGGGGGGACAATACATGGCACAGTACAACAATAACAAACCACGTACGAGGGGTAAGAGGGCCCTACTCTTTCGAGCTTACAATCTAGGAGGGAGGGGGTAATAGTACAGTAGGAAGTGGCTGAGGGGAATGAGGGGTGGGAGGAAAGAGGGACAATGGCCGTTAGGTGAGGGTGGGGTAGGCTTCCCTGAAGAGATGGGTTTCGAGGGAGCGCCTGAATGTGAGGAGGGAAGGCGACAGTCTGATCGATTGGGGCAGTGAGCTCCAGAGGATGGGGGAGGACCTGGAGAAGTCTTGCAGTCGTGCATGGGAGGAGGAGACCAGGGAGCAGGATAGAAGGAGGTCCTGTGAGGAGCGAAGGGTACGGGTAGGGCGGTACTTGGGGATCAGGTTGGTGAGGTAGTCAGGGGCAGTGTTGTGAATGGCTTTGTAGGTCAGGGTTAGAAGTTTAAATTTGATGCGTTGGGCAATCGGTAACCAGTAGAGGGAGAGGCAGAGGGGGGTGGCAGAGGTGGAGCGGTTGGTGAGGTGGATGAGTCTAGCCGCTGAGTTCAGGATGGTCTGGAGTGGGGAGAGCTTGCACTTGGGTAGGCCGGTGAGAAGAGAATTGCAGTAGTCAAGGCGTGAGATGATGAGGGAGTGTACTAGAAGTTTGGTGGTGTCAGGGGTGAGGAAGGTACGTATCTTGGCGATGTTGCGGAGGTGGAGCCTGCATGTGTTTGTAAGTGATTTGACATGAGGTTGGAAGGAGAGGTTCGAGTCAAGAATGACGCCAAGGACTTTGGCTTGCGGGGTGGGAATGATAGTGGTGTTGGTGGTGGTAATGGATAGGATGGGGGGGGGGTGTGGGCAGGGGGAAAGACGAGGAGCTCGGTTTTGGAGAGGTTGAGCTTGAGGAAATGTAGCAACATCCCTTCTGAGATGTCGTTTAGGAGGTGAGTGATGCGGGCGGAGATAGTGGGGGTGAGGAGAGGGGTGGAGAGGTAGATTTGGGTGGCGTCAGCGTAGAGGTGATAGTTGAAGCCGTGGGAGTGTATGAGTTTGCCCAGGGAGGAGGTGTAGATGGAGAAGAGAAGGGGTCCAAGGACAGAGCCTTGGGGGACCCCAACAGAGAGGGGGAGGGAGGGGGAGGTGGCACCATTGTAGGTGACGCTGAACGAGCGTCGCGATAGGTAGGATGAGAACCAGGAGAGAGCGGTATCTCTGCTTACCTGTGTATACCTGTGTGCCACTTTACATCTGCTTGTCTCTTCAATTCTGTCTCTGCACTTTGTGTACAGTACTACACCTAACACAGAACAAGAGTAGAGATACTGTGAAAAGGCATTACATACAGAATAAGAATAGATACTGACAACTACATCCAGCATACAGGACAAGAGAAGTGCTACTCTGCAGTGTGTGAATAGCTGTTCTGTGTTTCCAGGTGAAAATACTGCATAAAGTCCAGGAAGAAGAGGCGAGGAGGGGGGGTTATGTTCGTATTTTCCCCAGACATGACACATGGTCACTTTATGGGTGAGTATGTTCGTATAACATGTTGGTTTACATATCATGCAGGCTGTGTTGTATCATAGAACTTTCTCCTATTCATACAGCTCATTTCTGGAACATAAAACATCTATGAACTACATGCTGGCAACTCACCTTTTCCCGGACAGGTAAGTATGAGCCTGGCTCTTCCTATGCACCCCCTACAGGTCTGACTGCCTCCTGTCCACCTCATAGACATGCACAGTAGTGTGACTGCTTCCCTCTCTCCTACAGGACGGTCATTAGTCACAAGTGTGACACCAGACCAAAGCTACATGCTGCCTTGTATGAGCGCAAATTGCTATCACTACAGATGCGCAAGGCCAGGAAACACGGTTTGGTTCGCCGAGCAGGTGAGTGGAGAGACAGCTGGGCTGTCCTGTATATAAGTGACCCATATACCTTCCTACATGCAGATAGGATTTCAGGAGTTTCACTTGTCTGCAGGACCCTGAGCAATAGTATCCACATAAATATAAGGTATCTGTCAGTTTGGAATTTCCTCTGTACCTGTCATGCAGGTTCTATTGAGATTGGGTATCACAAGCTCCTCTCCTGCAGTTCTTATTGAGATTTGGTGTCACAGGCATCTCCCTTGCAGTTATTATTATTGTGTATCACAGGCTCCTCCACTGCAATTGTTTTTGAGTTTGGGTATCAAAGGTGCCTCTCCTGTCCTTTTTATTGAGGTTAGGGATCACAGGCTCCTCCCCTGCAGTTCTTATTAAAGTTGGGCAGTGCAGGCTTCTCGCTGGCAGTACTTCTTGTTATTTGGTATCACAAGCTCATCCTCTGCAGTTCTGATTGAGATTGGGTATCACAGGCTCTTTCACTGCTGTTTTTATTGTGATTGGGTATCACAGGCTCCTTTTCCCAATTTCCTATTAACATTGGGTATTGCAGGCTCCTCCTCCCTGTATTTCTTATTAAGGTTGGGTATTGTAGGCTCCTCCCCTGCAGTTCTTATTAAGGTTGGGTATTGCAGGCTCCTCCACTGCAGTTCTTATTAAGGTTGGGTATTGCAGGCTCCTCCCCTGCAGTTCTTATTAAGGTTGGGTATTGCAGGCTCCTCCACTGCAGTTCTTATTAAGGTTGGGTATTGCAGGCTCTTCCCCTGCAGTTCTTATTAAGGTTGGGTATTGCAGGCTCCTCCCCTGCAGTTCTTATTAAGGTTGGGTATTGCAGGCTCCTCCCCTGCAGTTCTTATTAAGGTTGGGTATTGCAGGCTCCTCCCCTGCAGTTCTTATTAAGGTTGGGTATTGCAGGCTCCTCCCCTGCAGTTCTTATTAAGGTTGAGTATCAGAGGCTCCTCCCCTGCAGTTCTTATTAAGGTTGCGTATCAGATGCTCCTCCCTGCAGTTCTTATTAAGGTTGAGTATCAGAGGCTCCTCCCCTGCAGTTCTTATTAAGGTTGAGTATCAGAGGCTCCTCCCCTGCAGTTCTTATTAAGGTTGAGTATCAGAGGCTCCTCCCCTGCAGTTCTTATTAAGGTTGGGTATTGCAAGCTCCTCCCTGGCAGTACTTATTGTTATTAGGTATCACAAGATCATCTTCTGCAGCTCTGATTGAGATTGGATATCACAGGCTCTTTCACTGCTGTTTTTATTGTGATTGGGTATCACAGGCTCCTTTTCCTAAGTTCTTATTAACATTGGGTATTGCAGGCTCCTCCTCCCTGTATTTCTTATTAGGGTTGCGCATTGCAGGCTCCTCCCCTGGAGTTCTTATTAGGCTGCATGCACGCTAGTGTTTTTTATAAGCTCAAAAGTGCTAGATGAAAAACACTGATAATAGCATTTTTTGTGCTGGCTTGTATATGAAGGAAAAAACATGCTCGAAGAAAGCTGTTAGAAGCGTTTTAGTAGCGGTCAGAAGTCTTTAGGAGCATTCAGTGTTTTTTTTTTCTGCTGGGAAAACACTGCCAAAAACTTTTTTTTTTTTTTTCTGCTCCTAAACGCTGAAGCTTGAAAAACACTTCTAGCATAAAATAGTGTACATGGACACATAGGATAACATTATTAGCTTCTAGAAGCAGAAAAAAAAAATGCTCATAATAACTTCTAGGAGCTTAAAAAAATGCTAGTGTGCATGAAGCCTTAAGATTGGGTATTGCATACCCCTCCCCCGATGTACTTGTTGTTATTAGGTATCACAAGCTCCTTCTCTGCAGTTCTAATTGAGATTGGGTATCACAGACTCCTTTCCTGAAATTCTTATTAAGTTTGGGCATTGAAGGCTCCTCCCCTGCAGTTCTTAAGGTTGGATATTGCAGGCTCCTCCCCTATAGTACTTATTATTAAGTATCACAAGCTCATCCTCTGCAGTTCTGATTGAGATTGAGTGTCACAGGCTCCGCCACTTCTGTTCTTATTGAGATGGGGTATCACAGGCTCCTCCCCTGCAGTTCTTATTAAGGTTGGATATTGCAGGCTCCTCCCCTATAGTACTTATTATTAAGTATCACAAGCTCATCTTCTGCAGTTCTGATTGAGATTGAGTGTCACAGGCTCCGCTACTTCTGTTCTTATTGAGATGGGGTATCACAGGCTCTTTTCCTGAAGTTCTTATTAAGATTGCGTATTGCAGGCTCCTCCCCTGCAGTTCTTATTAAGGTTGGATATTGCAGGCTCCTCCTATAGTACTTCTTATTGGGTATCACAATCTCATCCTCTGCAGTTCTGATTGAGATCGAGTGTCACAGGCTCCGCTACTTCTGTTCTTATTGAGATGGGGTATCACAGGCTCCTCCCCTGCAGTACTTATTAAGGTTAGGTATTGCAGGCTCCTCCCCTGCAGTTCTTTTTAAGATTGGATATTGCAGGCTCCTCCCCTGCAGTTCTTATTAAGGTTGGATATTGCAGGCTCCTCCCCTATAGTACTTATTAAGTATCACAAGCTCATCCTCTGCAGTTCTGATTGAGATCGAGTGTCACAGGCTCCGCCACTTCTGTTCTTATTGAGATGGGGTACCATAGGCTCTTTTCCTGAAGTTCCTATTAAGATTGGTTATTACAAGCTCCTCCCCTGCAGTTCTTACTGAGATTGGGTATCACAGGCTTCTGGTACCATAGGCTCATCTTTTTGCACCTTCTATAGCGATTTTGTTCTACAGTTTCCCCTCCCACATCTCTAACCGAAATGGCATATCATAGGCTTTCCCTCCTACCCCTTGCAATGATTAAATATTGTAGGCTCCCCCCCTAAACTACGGGGAGTAATTGTCTGTTACAGCCTTCTCCTGTACATTGATCGATTCTTTCATATCTGTAACAGGGCTGTCTCACCCCCCAGAGGGCTCCACAACTGAGCAGGAAGAGGAGGATGAAGCTGAGGAGGAAGAGGTGGAAGAGATACCGGATCCTTCATCCCTGGAGCCACAGACAGTGCCTCTTCCCCCTTCCCCTCCCCCTCCTCGGGTCAGCATCCTGGAGATCCTACAGAAAGGAGAAAACCTGAGGTATGTCTGCTGAAAACATGGCGGATTATGGACAGTACTTTGTCTTCCCACACTTATGATGATCTGTGTTTGCAGCAAAGTTCAGGCTCGTTGGGCCTTCTCCACTTACCTGCAGCGGGTGCAGAACCGCCTCCAAAGGCAGCAAGACTCAGAAAAGCCACTCCCCAAGGAGGAGGAGCAAATGGTGAGTGGTTGGTGTCAGTATAGTATCAAAGATTTCTGTGAGAGTGTCTGACTTGTGTCCCATATTGTAGGAGCTGGTGATGAGGTTTCTGCAGCGCGCAGCCAGTAACCTGCAGAGATCGGTGTGTGTGACGCTCCCAGGCCGTTCTGTACCACTCCAGGAGAGACGTCAACTGCTGGCCAATCAGCTGGGTGACTTCATTACCCTGTACAACCAGGTGACCACGTGTTCAAAACCCAGAATCCTCTATTGTATCCTGCTCTGTGTACCTAGAATACGCTACTGAATGCTACTGTTTGTACCCGGACTCCTCTGCTGTATTCTGTCCTGCGTACCCAGAATGCTGTCTTGTGTACCCGGACTCCTCTACTGTATTCTGTCCTGCGTACCCAGAATGCTGTCTTGTGTACCCAGACTCCTCTACTGTATTCTATCCTACGTACCCAGAATGCTGTCTTGTGTACCCGGACTCCTCTACTGTATTCTGTCCTGCGTACCCAGAATGCTGTCTTGTGTACCCGGACTCCTCTGCTGTATTCTGTCCTGCGTACCCAGAATGCTGTCTTGTGTACCCAGACTCCTCTACTGTATTCTGTCCTGCGTACCCAGAATGCTGTCTTGTGTACCCAGACTCCTCTACTGTATTCTGTCCTGCGTACCCAGAATGCTGTCTTGTGTACCCAGACTCCTCTACTGTATTCTATCCTACGTACCCAGAATGCTGTCTTTTGTACCCAGACTCCTCTACTGTATTCTGTCCTGCGTACCCAGAATGCTATCTTGTGTACCCAGACTCCTCTACTGTATTCTGTCCTGCGTACCCAGAATGCTGTCTTGTGTACCTAGACTCCTCTACTGCATTCTGTCCTGCGTACCCAGAATGCTGTCTTGTGTACCCAGACTCCTCTACTGCATTCTGTCATGCGTTCCCAGAATGCTGTTCTGTGTACCCAGACTCCTCTACTGCATTCTGTCATGCGTTCCCACAATGCTGTTTTGTGTACCCAGACTCCTCTACTGCATTCTGTCATGCGTACCCAGTATGCTGTCTTGTGTACCCAGACTCCTCTACTGTATTCTATCCTGCATACCCAGAATGCTGTCTTGTGTACCCACACTCCTCTACTGTATTCTGTCATGCGTACCCAGAATGCTGTCTTGTGTACCCAGACTCCTCTACTGTATTCTGTCCTGCGTACCCAGAATGCTGTCTTGTGTACCCAGACTCCTCTACTGTATTCTATCCTACGTACCCAGAATGCTGTCTTTTGTACCCAGACTCCTCTACTGTATTCTGTCCTGCGTACCCAGAATGCTGTCTTGTGTACCCAGACTCCTCTACTGTATTCTGTCCTGCGTACCCAGAATGCTGTCTTGTGTACCTAGACTCCTCTACTGCATTCTGTCCTGCGTACCCAGAATGCTGTCTTGTGTACCCAGACTCCTCTACTGCATTCTGTCATGCGTTCCCAGAATGCTGTTCTGTGTACCCAGACTCCTCTACTGCATTCTGTCATGCGTACCCAGAATGCTGTCTTGTGTACCCAGACTCCTCTACTGTATTCTATCCTGCATACCCAGAATGCTGTCTTGTGTACCCACACTCCTCTACTGTATTCTGTCATGCGTACCCAGACTCCTCTACTGCATTCTGTCATGCTTACCCAGAATGCTGTCTTGTGTTCCCAGACTCCTCTACTGCATTCTGTCATGCGTTCCCCAGAATGCTGTTCTGTGTACCCAGACTTCTCTACTGTATTCTGTCCTGCGTACCCAGAATGCTGTCTTGTGTACCCAGACTCCTCTACTGTATTCTGTCCTGCGTACCCAGAATGCTGTCTTGTGTACCCAGACTCCTCTACTGCATTCTGTCATGCGTTCCCAGAATGCTGTTCTGTGTACCCAGACTCCTCTACTGCATTCTGTCATGCGTTCCCACAATGCTGTTTTGTGTACCCAGACTCCTCTACTGCATTCTGTCATGCGTACCCAGTATGCTGTCTTGTGTACCCAGACTCCTCTACTGTATTCTATCCTGCATACCCAGAATGCTGTCTTGTGTACCCACACTCCTCTACTGTATTCTGTCATGCGTACCCAGAATGCTGTCTTGTGTACCCAGACTCCTCTACTGTATTCTGTCCTGCGTACCCAGAATGCTGTCTTGTGTACCCAGACTCCTCTACTGTATTCTATCCTACGTACCCAGAATGCTGTCTTTTGTACCCAGACTCCTCTACTGTATTCTGTCCTGCGTACCCAGAATGCTGTCTTGTGTACCCAGACTCCTCTACTGTATTCTGTCCTGCGTACCCAGAATGCTGTCTTGTGTACCTAGACTCCTCTACTGCATTCTGTCCTGCGTACCCAGAATGCTGTCTTGTGTACCCAGACTCCTCTACTGCATTCTGTCATGCGTTCCCAGAATGCTGTTCTGTGTACCCAGACTCCTCTACTGCATTCTGTCATGCGTACCCAGAATGCTGTCTTGTGTACCCAGACTCCTCTACTGTATTCTATCCTGCATACCCAGAATGCTGTCTTGTGTACCCACACTCCTCTACTGTATTCTGTCATGCGTACCCAGACTCCTCTACTGCATTCTGTCATGCTTACCCAGAATGCTGTCTTGTGTTCCCAGACTCCTCTACTGCATTCTGTCATGCGTTCCCAGAATGCTGTTCTGTGTACCCAGACTTCTCTACTGTATTCTGTCCTGCGTACCCAGAATGCTGTCTTGTGTACCCAGACTCCTCTACTGTATTCTGTCCTGCGTACCCAGAATGCTGTCTTGTGTACCCAGACTCCTCTACTGCATTCTGTCATGCGTTCCCAGAATGCTGTTCTGTGTACCCAGACTCCTCTACTGCATTCTGTCATGCGTTCCCACAATGCTGTTTTGTGTACCCAGACTCCTCTACTGCATTCTGTCATGCGTACCCAGAATGCTGTCTTGTGTACCCAGACTCCTCTACTGTATTCTATCCTGCATACCCAGAATGCTGTCTTGTGTACCCACACTCCTCTACTGTATTCTGTCATGCGTACCCAGACTCCTCTACTGCATTCTGTCATGCTTACCCAGAATGCTGTCTTGTGTTCCCAGACTCCTCTACTGCATTCTGTCATGCGTTCCCAGAATGCTGTTCTGTGTACCCAGACTTCTCTACTGTATTCTGTCCTGCGTACCCAGAATGCTGTCTTGTGTACCCAGACTCCTCTACTGTATTCTGTCCTGCGTACCCAGAATGCTGTCTTGTGTACCCACACTCCTCTACTGTATTCTGTCATGCGTACCCAGAATGCTGTTCTGTGTACCCAGACTTCTCTACTGTATTCTGTCCTGCATACCCAGAATGCTGTCTTGTGTACCCACACTCCTCTACTGTATTCTGTCATGCGTACCCAGACTCCTCTACTGCATTCTGTCATGCTTACCCAGAATGCTGTCTTGTGTTCCCAGACTCCTCTACTGCATTCTGTCATGCGTTCCCAGAATGCTGTTCTGTGTACCCAGACTCCTCTACTGTATTCTATCCTGCATACCCAGAATGCTGTCTTGTGTACCCACACTCCTCTACTGTATTCTGTCATGCGTACCCAGACTCCTCTACTGCATTCTGTCATGCTTACCCAGAATGCTGTCTTGTGTTCCCAGACTCCTCTACTGCATTCTGTCATGCGTTCCCAGAATGCTGTTCTGTGTACCCAGACTTCTCTACTGTATTCTGTCCTGCGTACCCAGAATGCTGTCCTGTGTACCCAGATTCCTCTACTGAGTCCTATCCCGTGTACCCAGAATTCTATTCTTCCTGTCCTTAGCACATGAAGTTCTATGGCCCTAGAATTCTTTTCGGTATACTATAGTCAGTATCTAGAATTTTGGTTCCTGTGTACACAGAATGCTTTTATTTGTGCTGTACTAGGTACTGTTACTGTGCATAGACTTCTCTCATTTGTTCCATGTTCTACAATGTATAGTGTTCTCTGCACTGAATACCCAGCATTCCCTATGTAGCCAGTCTTGCACTCCTTGCCATGCTACTTATCTCACGTGTCAATCATGTTGTGGCTTCTTATAGGAGACACAAGAAATGAGTATTCCAGACTGCCCAGACAGTGCAAGTAAAGGTGTGGACCCTGCGGATTTTCAGGCTTTCATATCTGAAGCTAGGTAATAATAACTGGCTTAGTGTGGCCTCTGTGTCAACCTGCATGCTTTTTTTTGTCATTCCGCCGTATCACTCTGAGGTTGTGCCGTGTCACCCTGCATGCTCTCTGAGGTTGTGCCGTGTCACCCTGCATGCTCTCTGAGGTTGTGCCGTGTCGCCCTGCATGCTCTCTGAGGTTCTGCCGTGTCACCCTGCATGCTCTCAGGTTGTGCCGTGTCACCCTGCATGCTCTCTGAGGTTGTGCCGTGTCACCCTGCATGCTCTCTGAGGTTGTGCCGTGTCACCCTGCATGCTCTCTGAGGTTGTGCCGTGTCACCCTGCATGCTCTCTGAGGTTGTGCCGTGTCACCCTGCATGCTCTCTGAGGTTGTGCCGTGTCACCCTGCATGCTCTCTGAGGTTGTGCCGTGTCACCCTGCATGCTCTCTGAGGTTGTGCCGTGTCACCCTGCATGCTCTCTGAGGTTGTGCCGTGTCACCCTGCATGCTTTTTGAGGTTGTGCTGTGTTGTCACCCTGCATGCTCTGAGGTTGTGCCGTGTCACCCTGCATACTCTTAGATTGTGCCGTGTCACCCTGCATGCTCTCTAAGGTTGTGCTCTGTCACCCTGCATGCTTTTAGATTGTGCCGTGTCACTCTGCATGCTCTTAGATTGTGCTGTGGTATCCCTGCATGCTCTCTAAGGTTGTTCTGTGTCACCCTGCATGCTGTCTAAGGTTGTGCCGTGTCTCCCTGCATGCTCTGTAAGGTTGTGCCGTGTCTCCCTGCATGCTCTGTAAGGTTGTGCCGTGTCTCCCTGCATGCTCTGTAAGGTTGTGCCGTGTCTCCCTGCATGCTCTGTAAGGTTGTGCCGTGTCACCCTGCATGCTCTCTGAGGTTGTGCCGTGTCACCCTGCATGCTCTCTGAGGTTGTGCCGTGTCACCCTGCATGCTCTCTGAGGTTGTGCCGTGTCACCTTGCATGCTCTCTAAGATTGTGCCGTGTCACCCTGCATACTCTTAGATTGTGCCGTGTCACCCTGCATGCTCTCTAAGGTTGCGCTCTGTCACCCTGCATGCTTTTAGATTGTGCTGTGGTATCCCTGCATGCTCTGTAAGGTTCTGCCGTGTCTCCCTGCATGCTCTGTAAGGTTCTGCCGTGTCTCCCTGCATGCTCTGTAAGGTTGTGCCGTGTCTCCCTGCATGCTCTGTAAGGTTCTGCCATGTCACCTTGTATGCTTTCTGAGGTTTTGCCATGTCTTCTAGTGAGTGTGAACTAGAGGAGGTTCTCACCTTTTATACCCACAAGAACAAATCCGCCAGTGTCTTCCTGGGCGGCTCAGCCAGTGTGCCACAAGGAGTGGGACAGCCAGGTGAGTGATCGAGGGGTTCTTCCACAAAGGGACAGAGGGGCTTCTCTTTGTTATGGTGCACAGATGACTCTGATTGCCCCATCCACTGATTTTCCCCTTCAGCTGATAGTCTTATACGCTAATTGTCCTGTCCGCTAATTATCCCATCCACTCAATGTCTCTTCTGCTGATTGTCCCGACCGCTCATGGTCCCATCCACTGCTTATCCAGTTTCCATTTCTAACATGTCTTCCTTTGAAGGCACTCTGGACGGTGTGATGGACAGAAAACCAGAGAATGGCAATCTGAACCTCCAGCAGCAGGCAGGTAGTCAGTCCAGGAGTGTCCCAGGTGAGCTCTTACAATGTCATATTACCCTGTACAACAAGATAATTGTCTCTTTTCTTGGATGTCAGTCACACCCTGAGATGCTGGCCCCCTCTTCTAAAATCCCCTTTTGCTCTCTCTCTCAGCAGGAGCCAGGGTTTCTGAGACTGCTGATATCTCTGCTGCCAGTCTCTCTCTGTGACCAGTGTCTTATCAGATGGTAGTACCAAGCAACTGGTCAGGTCCCCATCACATCAGCACCAGTCTTGTCCTCCCTCCACAGGAAGCAGATTGTACGCTTCTTCCAACTCCGCTCACTCTATCAGTATTGGCACTGGGGTCCAGCCTGTACCCCGTTCCCAAACCTGTACCCTGGGAGCCTTCTCCTCCTTCCAGAGTGCTGCCCAAATCTACAGTCAGAGATTGAGCCGGCCAAGCTCATCCCGACCAGGTATGTACCTCACTAGTGTGCTGGAACCTCACTACATCCTAGTGTAGAAAAGTGTTGTCACTGTTGCCTGTTACAACCAGTCAGATGCTTTGCTTTCCACGGAGCTTAACAGCTGAAGTGTGATTGGTTGCTTCACAGATGCTGTTCAAAGTTACCCATGTCATTATATTACCACTGTACCATTGTATTGCAAGTATGTCAGCATCATCAGTTTTACACCACATACCCTTTTCTTTACATTTCCTGCATCCTCCTCACATGTCCCCTTGTATCTTCCTTGTTGTAGCCAGCACCCAGACAAGTGCTCTGCGGACACGCTGTAACTCTGCAGGATCATTGAAAGTGCTGGAAGACCCCTATAATGTGGGAGCAGTGACAGCATCATTGCAGCGGCTGGCAGAGAAACAAGCATGCCGAAACAACCTCACTCAGCTAAGACAGTTTACCCAGCAGGTAACTCGCATCTCTGACTGCACTGCTCATTAAGATCAGTGTGCCCAGGCTGTGCCATTTTCCAGTCCCAGTAACCCACCACCTTGCACTCCAGAGAAACACACACCATCCCTCCACCACCTGAACTTCACAGGAAAACACTCCATCCCCTCCACCACCTGAAGTCCACAGGAACACACACCATCCCTCCACCACCCTGCACTGTACAGGAACTCACAACATCCCCTCCAACTCCTTACACTCTGAACAAACACACTGTCCCCTCCACAGGAACGCACATCACTTCTCTCCACCATCCCACATTTCACATAAATACACACCATCCTCTCCACCACTCCGCACTCCACAGAAACACACACCTTCCTCTCCACACTCCACAGAAACACACACCATCCTCTGCACCGCTCCGCAGTCCATGGAAAACACACACCATCCTCTCCACTGCTCCGCACTCCACAGAAATACACACCATCCTCTCCACCACTCCGCACTCCATGGAAACACACACCATCCTCTCCACCACTCCGCACTCCACGGAAACACACACCATCCTCTCCACCACTCCGCACTCCATGGAAAAACACACACCATCCTCTCCACCACTCCGCACTCCACGGAAACACACATCATCCTCTCCACCGCTCTGCACTCCACAGGCATGCACACCATCCTCTCCACCGATCTGCACTCCACAGGCACGCACACCATCCTCTCCACCACCCTGCAATCCATAGGAACGCACACCTTCCTCTCCACCATTCCGCACTCCACAGGAGCACACGCATCCACTCTACCACCCTGCATTCCATAGGAACACACACTATCCCCTCCACCATTTGCACGCCACAGAAAAACACACCATCCCCTCTATGGCTCTGCACTCTGTAGGAGCAAGCACAGCCTTCTTCACCTCTGCACAACATGGCGCTCCACAGGGGCACACACCAACAGCAGTGAGGTGGCTCCTTCAGTACAGAGAGCCTACTTTCCACACCAGCATGTGCATTTACCCCTTCACTGGCCAGTTTCCAATGTGTTTTGTATCTTCATTAAACTATCAGGGATTCACTCTTAAGGGTACATTAATCCCGAAGACTGCTTTTTTTTAAGTCCGTAAACGTGCAAACTACAACGAAAAAACCCGTAAGTGTTCACAAAAAATGTGCAAGTGCAAAACACCACACGAAAAAGTGCACTTAGGGGTGTGTTTGTCCTACCCCCGGAAGGGTTGGACCGTTCACCCGATCCCCCGGGGCACGAAGCTCCTGACAGGGACAAGGTTCCCATTTGGTCCTCCTGGCCAAAAGGCCTGGTGGACCACCGTTCCTTATGCCCAGCCGAAGCCGGACATCCAGTACTAGGCAAGGGGGTTCTCCCGAAGAGAAAACCCCCTAGGGATCAGGGGAGGAAGGAACCGTATGGCCACACATCCTCCCCCTAGACTTCAGGTAAGGCCCGAGGACCCACACCCTCCATCCGTGAAAAACACACACATAAGAACAGAAAAAGTGACAAAACGTGGGAGTGATTAAATAAATAAAATAAAAATAAAAAAGTGGTACCGTGCCTAATAGTGCACAGACCAGGCCCTGAGGCCTGTAGCAAAAATTGCCCCGGACTTAGCCAAAAGACCTGGTCCTTAGGGCGCTGTGCAAAAAGAAGTGAAAAACAGTGGCCATGTGTCATCTTCACACCGTGGGGTCCCACACCCAAGTGTTACTAGTGACACCCCTGAGAGCGTCTTCCCCAGGGGGCACTGAGTTTGCGGACTTTTTGCGTCCCCAGGCCAGACCAAGGTAGATCCGTCCAAATCAGGAGGTACTGGGTCTTTCCAGCTTTCCCAGAGGAATTACTCCCAAGGTCCCAGAGCGTATCGTGGCGCCCCCTGGTTTCTGTCCCTCCGGTCCAGCCTTCCGGACCCCCATCATACCAGTGAGGGTACTATACAACAACCATCCCTGCAAAGCTAGAATGGTCGGGAGCACCCCCACTGGACACTGATAAGAACAGATACTACACTTGATCTTAGCCAAAAGGCCGAGAAGCGATAGTGAATCCCGAAGACTGCTAGTGAATTAGATAAGGACCAAAAGTGTCCGTTGATTATCTGCTCCTGTCCTAATTAATCTTTGCTAGCTAGCTTTGGAATGTGCGCACACTGGAAGAGACTCACACTGACACACAAGTTCAGTCTATGAACACTTCTAGTTTATTAAAATGAGAAAGTGAGCTTATATATGCAAAATGATGCAAGAGTCATGTGACAACAGCATAAGCATTATATTAGTCTTTGATTGGTCATTTCCACACGAAAACAATCTCCATCATGGTATAGGTGTGATCTTCTTCCAAGTCTTATCTTATAGAAAGAAAAACATTCCTTTGTCTCAAGTTGGCACGATGGGAGGGGGTCGGTGTGTGTGAGCAAACATTTCTTAAGCAAGGATTTCTTAAAGTACCACAAAACCCAGCAGGCAGAAAATATTCACACAACATATGTATTCATACTAAACATTTATAAATATGAAGAAAGAAATAGTATTAAAGTATAAAAGTAAATATGTATAAAAATGTGTAGAAAAACGTGTATATATATATATATTCAATAGGAAACGAAATAGGCATTTTACCATATCCATCACACTAGGTCTGCTAGTATAAATAATTGATCACCAATCAGGACAAGATTTGCCGAGATCCATCCTCATCATCCATTCCAGCAGTTTCCTGACTACTCTGTGGCTTTCTGGTACAACTCTCTTTGTTTGCTCCACCTTATATCCAGAAGCTGAAGACTTACATGATAATATATTTCTCTCCTTCAGCTCACCAACCTGAATATTTCCAGCAGAACCGCTACCGGAGGTGGGATTCGTCTAGGCTCTACACTCCGTCCTCTCTCAGGCACAGCAATCCACACAGCTGCTGAGCACTCCAACCCAGGAACTAGGTGAGAACCATCTCAGCAATACCACCACAACACCAACATTAGGACCATACTCTTAACAGGCTAAGAGTTACAAAACCCAGAGCACTCCCTAATAGACACCCAATACCCAGATCACACCCTAATCCAAAGACATAAAACCCAGAAAGCACCCTAATTCCAGAAACCTAACACTCAGATCACACCCTAATCCAGAGACACAACACTCAGATCACACCCTAATCCAGAGACACAACACTCAGATCACACCCTAATCCAGAGACACAACACTCAGATCACACCCTAATCCAGAAACCCAATACCCAGATCACACTCTAATCCAGAGACACAACACTCAGATCACACCCTTAATCAGAGACATAACACCCAGAACGCACCCTTATTCCAGATACCCAACATTCAGATCACACCCTAATTTAGAGACATAACACCCAGAACACACCCTTAATCAGAGACATAACACCCAGAACGCACCCTAATTCCAGATACCCAACACTCAGATCACACCCTTAATCAGAAACATAACACCCATAACGCACCCTAATTCCAGAAACCCAACACCCAGATCACACCCTAATCCAGAGACACAACACTCAGATCACACCCATAATCAGAGACATAACACCCAGAACGCACCCTTATTCCAGATACCCAACATTCAGATCACACCCTAATTTAGAGACATAACACCCAGAACACACCCTAATCCAGAGACATAACACCCAGAACACAGAGCACTCCCTAATAGACACCCAATACCCAGATCACACCCTAATTCCAGATACCCAACACTCAGAACACACCCTAATCCTAGATTGTAAGCTCCAAGGAGCAGGGCCATCGAACCTCTCGTGTATTGCATTGTATTGTTATTGTACTGTCTCATGCATTGTCTCCCATTGTAATGTACAGTGCTGAGCAAACTGTTTGGTGCTATATAAATACTGTATAAAAATAATAATCCAGAGACATAACATCCAGAACGCACCCTAATTCCAGAGACCCAACACCCAGATCGTACCCTAATTCCAGAGACCCAACACCCAGATCGCACCCTAATTCCAGAGACCCAACACCCAGATCGCACCCTAATTCCAGAGACCCAACACCCAGATCGCACCCTAATTCCAGAGACCCAACACACAGATCGAACCCTAATTCCAGAAACCCAACACCCAGATCCCACCCTAATTCCAGAGACCCAACACCCAGATCGCACCCTAATTCCAGAGACCCAACACCCAGATTGCACCCTAATTCCAGAGACCCAACACCCAGATCCCACCCTAATTCCAGAGACCCAACACCCAGATCCCACCCTAATTCCAGAGACCCAACACCCAGATCACAACCTAACTCCTGAGACCCAAAACCCAGATCACACAATTCCAGTGACACAAGACCCAGATCACACCCTAATTCCAGAGACCCAACACCCAGATCCCACCCTAATTCCAGAGGCCCAACACCCAGATCACACCCTAATTCCAGAGACCCGACACCCAGATCACACCCTAACTCCTGAGACCCAAAACCCAGATCACACAATTCCAGTGACACAACACCCAGATCACACCCTAACTCCAGAGACCCAAACCCAGATCACACAATAATTCCAGCGACACAAGATCTATATCACATCCTAAAACAAATACAGAGCATCCTGATCACACCTTTATTCTGGGGACACAACACACAGGTCACACCCTAATTTCAGAAATACATCACCCAGATCACACCCTTATATTCTTATCTAAGATGCAGCAGCAGTTCTCAGATGACATCCTAACACTGATCTGGGATATAGGATGCACCAAGTACACAGAGCACATGGCTCACATGTCACACTCAGTACACAGAGCACAGGAGCACATGGCTCACATGTCACACTCAGTACACAGAGCACAGGAGCACATGGCTCACATGTCACACTCAGTACACAGAGCACAGGAGCACATGGCTCACATGTCACACTCAGTACACAGAGCACAGGAGCACATGGCTCACATGTCGCACTCAGTACACAGAGCACAAGAGCAAATATCTTACATGTCACACATCAGTTATCACTGTTTTGTCTCTTTTCAGGGATGGTACTCAAAGGGTGCAACTAGCATGGGACTCAGAGGTGGAGACCAGCACCTGCCCTCACCTACCTGGCACTAACCATCAGCCACCAGCAGGACGGAGTCAGAGTGGGGACCAGGTGAGTTCACCCTCTGAGTATAGGTGGAGAAATGTGTCACCAGCACACCACAGATCTGTGTCATCAAGACTCATTGTATAATGTCACTACTGTTTGTAGGTTTGGTGGTTTTATGATGTCAGGGTGGGGTTGGGGGGTCCTGTGCAGCGCCGGAAACTTTGCACTATCTGCACTCAGATGTGATCTTTTTATGTGCTGACAACACAGCTCCTTTACGGTACACACTGGTATGGAGCATGATGCAAATATAAGGAGTACATCTAAGTATGGTATAGATATAAGGACTCTTCAGTAGACATGAGCTGTAGTATAATAACACGCACCCTGTGAACTGCAATTCCCACAATCAGAGAACTCCGTTGGTGTAGTGACTTGTTCTTCATAGTTGCAAGCATAGAAAAGTCGTTTTAACATTTGACCTAAATCTATCCTGGTTTGTAACAGCGGTGGTATCTGTTAGAGAGGAACCCAGACCACTGTCATGTGTGGTGAAAATATAATCCAAATTTATTGAACGTGTATACTTGACAGCTAAAGGAAAGTGCTAGATTGTGCAGATTTTAAGGATTTATTTCTACGATTTTGATCATGTATGCATAGAAGCTGATTAACACGCTCCTCAAGAATACCAGCCAGACCCACTTATCTTCCAGAAAACAATCTCACTACTTAGTCATAACAAGCTCATCTCCTCTGTGTATATGTGTACATACTGGCCTTCTCTGTGTATATGTGTACATACTGGCCTTCTCTGTGTATATGTGTACATACTGGCCTCCTCTTTATATATGTGTACATAGTGGCCTCCTCTGTGTATATGTGTACATACTGGCCTCCTCTGTATATATATGTGTGTACATACTGGCCTCCTCTGTGTACATACTGTATATATGTGTACATACTGGCCTCTTCTCTGTATATGTGTACATACTGGTCTCCTCTGTATGTATGCGTACATACTGGCCTCCTCTGTGTGTATGCGTACATACTGGCCTCCTCTGTATGTATGCGTACATACTGGCCTCCTCTGTATGCGTACATACTGGCCTCCTCTGTGTATATGTGTACATACTGGCCTCCTCTGTGTATATGTGTACATACTGGCCTTCTCTGTGTATATGTGTACATACTGGCCTCCTCTGTATATATGTGTACATACTGGCCTCCTCTGTGTACATACTGTATATATGAGTACATACTGGCCTCCTCTGTATGTATGCGTACATACTGGCCTCCTCTGTATGTATGCGTACATACTGGCCTCCTCTGTATGTATGCGTACATACTGGCCTCCTCTGTATGTATGCGTACATACTGGCCTCCTCTGTATGTATGCGTACATACTGGCCTCCTCTGTATGTATGCGTACATACTGGCCTCCTCTGTATGTATGCGTACATACTGGCCTCCTCTGTATGTATGCGTACATACTGGCCTCCTCTGTATGTATGCGTACATACTGGTCTCCTCTGTATGTATGTGTACATACTGGCCTCCTCTGTGTATATGTGTACATACTGGCCTCTACATCTATTTATAATATATGTTAAAATATTGGCCTCCCCTATGTATGTTATATGTGTACACACTGGCCTCCTCGATGTATAGTATGTGTATATGCAGTACATACCTCCTCTATGTGTGTACATACTGCTCCCCTCAATGTATAATATATGTGTACATACTGGTCTGTTCTGTCTATATTTTCTGTGTACATACTGGCCTCTTCTTTGTATAATATTTGTGTACTTACCGTTCCTCTCCATGGATTATAATGTATATACACATCCTGACAGTCTCCAGGTCAACACAGTGGCCACCTGAAGCCAGCTCCTCCATCCAGTCACAAGACGTATGTGGCCCGGAAGTTGTCAGCCTCTCGCATTGTCCGGTGTGTACTAAGACCAGTCTTTTATATCTGGGATATGTAGGTACTATTGTATTCAGCTAATGGGGGATGTTTACTCTGCAGAGTATCCGTGCCAGAGGCACAGAACATGGCAGGACCTGTGCTCAGCGCGGACACACGAATACTTGCACAAGGTAAGGGATCCATCTCTTTGTCTGGTCCTGAATAACCCCCAACCAGCAACTTAACTGGCTTGTCTCTTCCAGGAGCCTCAGAACCACCTCAAGTTATATTTGCCCGATCCAGACCACCAGTAGCCCCTGCCTGGACATCAAGCAGGGCCCAGCGGAGGAGAGATGCAGCGGTGTGCCCAACGTGAGGCTGAGGAGTCATTGCTGGGTGTAGGGCATTGTGTTCAGTGACTTACCTCCCAGTTCTCAGACCTTCCAAACAAGACTGGTCAGCTGCTGCATAATCTGTTTTTAACGCACACTGTGATTGCTACATTTATTGTAAATATTCATTTTGTATCTTGTACAGAAAAATTAAATTATTTTATATTTTATTCCTGTATTGTGCACCCAATCATAGTGCTGGATAGGCAATTAGGGGACTAATGGTTACTGTGTGCTGGGATAACTGACAAGAAGGACCAGTACAGATTGATGGAGGAGGGGATGTTAGTGGTACAAAGTGATGGGGAAAGGACTGTTAGCGGTACAGCGTTATAGAGAAGGGGCTGTTAGGGGTACAGAGTGATGGAGGAGGAACTATAAGGGGTGCAAAGTGATGGAGGAGGGACTATAAGGGGTGCAAAGTGATGGAGGAGGGACTATAAGGGGTGCAGAGTGGTGGAGGAGGGACTGTTGACTGAATAGAATGATGGAGGAGGGACTGTTAGCAGTACAGAGTGATGGAGGAGGGACTGTTAGCAGTACAGAGTAATGGAGGAGGGACCATTAGAGGTACAGAGTAATGGAGAAGGGACCGTTAGGGGTACAGAGTAATGGAGGAGGGACCGTTAGGGGTACAGAGTAATGGAGGAGGGACCATTAGGGGTACAGAGTAATGGAGGAGGGACCGTTAGGGGTACAGAGTGATGGAGGAGCACCTGTTAGTGGTACAGAGTGATGGAGGAGGGACTGTTAGCAGTACAGAGTACTGGAGGAGGGACGGTTGGTGGTAAAGAGTGATGGAGGAGGGACCGTTAGGGGTACAGAGTGATGGAGGAGAGACCGTTAAGTGGTACAGAATGATGGAGGAGCATCTGTTAGTGGTACAGAGTGATAGAGGGAGGACTGTTAGGGATACAGACTGATGGAGGAGGGACGGTTGGTGGTACAGAGTGATGAAGAGGAGACTGTTAGGGGTACAGAGTGATGGAGGAGGGACTGTTAGGGGTACAGAGTGATGGAGGAGGAACTATAAGGGGTGCAAAGTGGTGGAGGAGGGACTATAAGGGGTGCAAAGTGATGGAGGAGGGACTATAAGGGGGGTGCAGAGTGGTGGAGGAGGTACTGTTGACTGAATAGAATGATGGAGGAGGGACTGTTAGCAGTACAGAGTAATGGAGGAGGGACCATTAGGGGTACAGAGTAATGGAGGAGGGACTGTTAGCAGTACAGAGTACTGGAGGAGGGACGGTTGGTGGTAAAGAGTGATGGAGGAGGGACCGTTAGGGGTACAGAGTGATGGAGGAGAGACCGTTAAGTGGTACAGAATGATGGAGGAGCATCTGTTAGTGGTACAGAGTGATAGAGGGAGGACTGTTAGGGATACAGACTGATGGAGGAGGGACGGTTGGTGGTACAGAATGATGAAGAGGAGACTGTTAGGGGTACAGAGTGATGATGGAGGAGGGACTGTTAGGGGTACAGAGTGATGGATGAGGGACTGTTAGGGGTACAGAGTGATGGAGGAGGGGCTGTTAGGGGTACAGAGTGATGGATGAGGGACTGTTAGGGGTACAGAGTGATGGAGGAGGGACTGTTAGGGGTACAGAATGATGGAGGAGGGACCGTTAGTGGTAAAGAATGATGGAGGAGCGTCCGTTAGTGGTACAGAATGATGGAGGAGGAACCGTTGGTGGTACAGAGTGATGGAGGAGGGACTGTTAGGGATACAGAATGATGGAGGAGGGACCGTTAGTAGTAAAGAATGATGGAGCAGGGACTGTTAGGGATACAGACTGACAGGGGAGGGACAGTTGGTGGTACAGAGTGATGGAGAAGGGACCATTATTCTAAAAAATAATTTACAAAAACAAATGACTCGGTCACATGTACTTTGCTTTCTATAATTACTGCCATGGCTGCAAAGCATAGCATTGTGGTCGTGGCATGTGTACACCCCTAGCCACTGCCTCTTTTCCTAAAGGGGGTAGCAGCTGGTGGGCGGTAAAAGCGCAGCTCAACCGTGGGGTTTTTACTGCCTCCTAGCGTCACGTGATTGACCCCTAAGGACTCATTCACACAGGTACTCTGGTTGAGCGGATTGTTAATGCAATCTTAGTTATCTTGTTTACTCTTAGGGTACACAGCCTACATAGTAACACAGCCACAGGTCCTAGTTTGACATGTGTGCAGGTGTGGGTGAGTGGCCCTGAATGCACACTGTCTTTGTTCAGGGCCGTAAACCTGCACCCACACACCTGTCTATGGGGACCTGCGGCTGGGTTCATGCAGCTGCTGCTTCCCTGTAGATCACATGTGTCAAACACAAGGCCCGTGGGCCAAATCCGGTCCTCCAGGCCATTTCATGTGACCCTTGTACCTCTCCTGCAGCTGAAGCACCCCTCTCGTCTCCACCCTTACCTTGTCTCAGCAATCGACAGCAGGGAGGAGGACAGAACTCCTCCTACAGATCCTGCGCCTGTCTGTGTAGTTGCAGTATCCCCTCATCTCCGCCTCCCGTGGTCTCAGCATTCAGCAGACTCCGGCCCTCCTGGTCCTCCTCCATACTCTGGACTTTTTGCTTTCCAGCTTCACCCCTAGCTTCTTCCCGGCAGCAGCACAAGGTAAGGGGTGTGAACTGTGATGTAAGGGAGGGTGGGGGACTCTTGTCTCCTCGTAGTGGGGGGCTCTTGACATCTGATATAAGGGGATGAGGTGAGGTACTCTGGACAGCTATTATTACAGATACAACTGGCCCTTTGAGGGCAAACATAATGCTGAAGCGGCCCGTGATGAAATAGAGTTTGACGCCTCTGCTGTAGAGTAACATAGCCTGCCTGCACACAGCTCCAGCCACATAAACAAACCACTGATTCACACTGGACAGGCCACAGTGCCCATGTGAGCCCCAATACTTCCTTCACACATAGAGCTTTAGCAGGAATGATTTTAGTGTATTTTTACTGAAAATATGATTTGCCATTGGGGGGGTGGTCCTGTCAGTTAGGCTTTATAGGGCCCCATGACTTCTAACAGCAACTCTGCATTATTACTGTCACATTATTCCTACGTCAATGAGCATGTGCTGTGTGTGTGAGACAGGTGACATGTTCTTGTCCTTTGTGCGCCATCTCTGGGTCACCGCACTAATACTGCTCATGTGAGGAATATATTGTCAACCTGGAGCCCTTCAGCAGTCATATACTGGCATGCCTTTCCGGACTGCAGGCTCTTTTGACAGGTGTCCTGCCTTTACAAGCCTGGAGGTGGCAGTACAAGTCCAGGAGCATCTCAGAGCACTGCAGAAAAAACGGAGGGGTCCTTACTGCTCCCGGCCTCAGTCCTTATACCCAGATATAGCTTTGACATATTCCATAGTGCTGTACAAAGAACACTGAACCATACACATCAGTCTCTGCACCAGAGGAGCATACACTCTAATCTTTTGTTGAATCTGCCTTTAGCGAGCCATTGGCCTTGAGGGATTGCCCAGGCACTATTATGAGGGAGGGTCTGTGTTTGATGAATCTGGAGAGAATCCCTTTAAAGTTTCGGGATTTGGCCTGGCTCTGGTTCCATGGCAGACTATGTGAAGGTCAACCTGAAGCACCGCTCTGCGGAGAACCGTGGTTGTCTAACAGTGGAGTGCGGTGGGGTGGAGGAGACGATGGACCATTTTTTGCTTCAGTGCCTCTTCAATATAGAAGTCTACAAGCGGGTGAGTGGGGCTCTGGGGATCCCTTTCCTTTCCTGCTTGAGTTACGCGGAGTAGTCTTACTAGGCCTTTCAAACTCACCGGGACTTTGATTTTGAGACACTTTTTCTACTTAACTCAGTAGTCCCTTACTACACGTGGAATGCACGGTGTCAGGTTTCCATTCGCAAAAAAAGTCCTTCCTGTCGAGGTGGTGGTGCACAACATTCTGGGTGAGGTTGGGAAGATTCAGAGTCTTGAGAAGGACGGGTGATGGCTGGGAGCCTGGACAAAGGCATGGAGGAATGTCAGGTCCCCGTAGCTGCTGTCTGTCAGTCTCTGGGGGCGTGGCTTCTCTTTCTGTCCTTTCAGGTCCCCTAGATCTTTGTAAGATCACATTTGTGAAAAAAGGCTGCATGCATAGGATCAATGTTTCCTCGTTTCTTAGCCTCAGGGTGTGTTTAGGTGCAATATAAAGAAGATAATATTGCAATTTGATTGGTTCTGTTTTGTTTTTTTGGCAAAAAGGCAGTTTGTTTTTTCTTTGCTGAAGTAAGCTGTTTTTGTTTAAAAATATATATATATATATATATATATATATATATATATATATATATATATATATATATATATATATATATTATTCTGTATATATTTTTTTTATTATGTTGTTTGTAAGATTTTTAATAAACAAAAATTTACACTCTAATCTTTTGTTGAATCTGCCTTTAGCGAGCCATTGGCCTTGAGGGATTGCCCAGGCCCGGTTATGAGGGAGGGCCTGCGTTTGATGAATCTGGAGAGAATCCCTTTAAAGTTTGAGGATTTGGCCTGGCTCTCTTTCCATGGCAGACTCTATGTGAAGGTCAACCTGAAGCATCGCTCTGCGGAGAACCGTGGTTGTCCAAGAGTGGAGTGCGGTGGGGTGGAGGAAATGATGGACCATTTCTTGCTTCAGTGCCCCTTCAATATAGAAGTCTAAAAGCGGGTGGGTGCGGCTCTGGGGGTCCCTTTCCTTTCCTGCTTGAGTTACGCGGAGTGGTCTTACGGTGCCTTTCAAACTTGCCAGGTCTTTGATTTTGAGACACTTTTTCTAGTTAGCTTAGTAGTCCCTTACTACACGTGGAATGCACTCTGTCAGGTTTCCATTTGCAAAAAAGTCCTTTCTGTCGAGGTGGTGCACACCATTCTGGGTGAGGTTGGGAAGATTCGGGGTCTTGAAAAGGACGGGTGGTGGCCATGAGCCTGCACAAAGGCTTGGAGGAATGTCAGGTCCCCGTAGCTGCTGTCTGT